TGAAGTATATAGCCAAGCATTAGAAAAAATTCAGCGAAAATTTGTGGTGCAAGCTAGATGGCGTCTACTCTACTCGCAATATTCCGCAAACCATCTTGCTGAATAGATTTGATATCCTTGAATTACGTACTCGCAGGAAATGTTATTCTATCTGCATTCTTTACAAATTATAAAATTTTAAAATTGACTGTCCCGAACTACTTCGTCAACTAATGTTTAATGTTCCTAGTATCAGAACTCGCTCCCCTTTCTATTTTCAGACACCCAGGACAAATATTTTAAAATTTTCTCCAATGTATTTTATGTATCAAAATTTTTGTGAACTTCAAAATGATGTTGATTTATTTTCTATTTCAATTAAAGAAATAAAACGCTTAATTGTGGACTGAGTTAATTATCATAAGACAACGTAATTTTTTCTCCTAACGGAGTTTTTTTTTGCGTTTTCTTATGATGGTTAAAAACGTTTATTAAACTATTTTTTGTTTACATATATTTATGCTATTATTAGTATTTAATATTTTGTTATCATTTTTATGATGTAAATTATACTGTAATTGTAATTATTTTTGTGCCCATCCTGTAATTGGTTTTATACTGTTGGATGGTGTAACCCAAATAAATAAATTTGTGTTAGATACTTTTTTAGTTACTTTAACTTCTCTTATTATGAGTTCCAAGAGAAGTTATCACTATCACTAGAATTTAATTAAAATTTTATCGAAATTTAATTCAATTTAAAAGGTTGTTTATGGGTTCACTGTTTTATTCTGAAATAAAAAGATCATAATTTCAATATATGTGTGACCTAGGGTGACCATATCTCTTTTGATATAATGCTGGGCGCTGACCAATGAAATATAACATTGATGAAGATGTTTTATAGCTCCCCAAAGATATATATTTTTTTTGTTTAGCTCCCCACAGGAGATAAAAATATAACAAGTAGAGAACCAGAGGAAGGACCTTTTTTAGCTCCTCAAAGATTTATTTTTTAGCTCCCCACAAAAGATAAAAATACAGCATGTAGAGTAACTGAAGAAGGATCTTTTTTGTAGCTCCCCACGTATAAAAATACAACATGTAGAGAACCAGAACTTTTTTTAGCTCTATTTTTTTTTTACTTACCGAAAGCACGTTGCTTGGTAAATTCCCTTAAGAAACGTGCTTGAGGTATTTGAAATAAAATTATGAGTATTTATCACTGGCTAGAAAAAGTAATTTACTAGCTAAATTCCATAAAGTCTTAGACTGTACCGTACCATCTTTTTTTCAAATATTTACTTCCCAGTCCTTTAGTTGTGAAGACTAGGATAAGGAGGCGAATCGGCATACTCGAAATAAGGTCTCAAAAAAAACGAACGCTAATTGAGCTATTATAATTCACCGCATGGGCGCTGGGCTGCTTGCGCTTTTAAAAATGGTTGACTTTTTATGGGAATTTTACATATTTTTTTTTCAAATATACTGTTGTATTTATTTCTAAATAAGGCTTGCATGTTTTAATTGATAAATTATTTAACTTTATCTAAATAAAATACAAATTAGGTAGGTATGACCAAATTTGGTAAGTACAATTTTGTGGCTAATTTTTTTTTAAATTAAACCTACATTTAGTTTTAAGAACAAAATAAAACAGAGTTAAAGTTTTTTTATTGCCTCATCCTTTAGTTTCGACCTTCCCCATTTTATTTTGCTACCATCAGTAAAAAGAATCTCATAAGATACAGAAATATCTTCTAAAGAGTAGAAAAGCATCAACTCTAGAAAGTGCTTTATCCGTCCTAGGAACGATATATATGCTGCGACTGTTCTAAGCGTTTGGGATCCTATGAAAAACATTTACAGTGTGTAATTATTGTTGTTTTAAGTCAGGATCTACGACTGTAAAATTTTATTTATTAAATAAATACATTATTTTACATTAGAAGCTTTAAAAAGACATTGAATTAATTTCTTCTTGTTTTCTTTAGTTTTACATCTAATTTGTATCCAGTTTTACAATCTGGAACAAAGTAAATCTTGCTTTGTTTTTTGTCAATCATGTTACTTGTACTCAGGTACTTTTTTTCACACTATTTTATTATCATTATTTTACAGTTAATTTGGCGAACTTTATAAAATTAACAAAAAATTAAAATTTGACCATTGTTTCTATTCTTCGTACTTTCAGTATATCAATATTTCCAATATTATTTTACTAAATCCAGACATTTAAAAAAAAATAAATTTGAAAGTGTCAAAAGTTTTTAGAAATGTCATATTATTAAATTATATAAAGGGTATACCAGATTAACGTTCGTATTAAATGCTGATTGATAATTAAATGGGAAGAGTAAAAGTAATGAATTACTTTCTTTAATAAATAATTATTAGACAAAACGTCCAATTTTGAGTTTTATCATTTATCGGAATCAAAAAATTGACGTAATAGTTCCTAATATATTGGTTTGTTTGGTACAAACTTGACTCAAGTGATAACACTCCTAGGAAAGTTATCAGTGTAAGTCCAAGCTAATTGGATATGTTGTATCACGTGACTAAAAATTAACGATTTTAATTGGTTTTCTATTGATGCCAGACATTTTCTTTATAAATAAATCTAATATTAGATCATTTAATTTACATGTTCATTTTGTATATTACCTTAGTATTAAAGTTTGTTACCTATTTTTGTTGTGTTTGACATCTGACATAACAAATAATTCAAGCTCTCCGTCCGAGCATATCGCACAAAGACTCCGCTGCCAACAAGCCAATTCGTTTATTAAACGAAAGAATTACCTAAGAAAACCTCTATTTTAACGAGTTTTTTTATACTTAGGTATTTGCCTTTGAAATGTGCAAAAAATTACGCCCGCGGTGCGTTTATTTTTTTGATCCCGAGTTGTAACAATGATGTGATTGTAAGGATGTGCACCCCCCAAAGTATTAAACCAGCAGCTGCCATTGCTTTATAGAAATTTGACAAAAATTGCAAAATTCTAATTTTTAAGAAAATTGTTAAAATAAAAGTTGTTTGTGATGTCGAGCTCTATAATTTTTGTTTTATACATGATTTCTCTAAAATGGACCGTAATGGAAAAAATCTCATGTGTCCAACACATGACTTTCCTATCTAGTTATTATAGGCTTTTTCCGGTTATTTTGTACAACCTATTGCAGCACCTTTATAAATGTTTAGAGGATAAACTAAATATATACATTTTCCACATACATCTACCTTGAAACATTTTTCTTCATTGAAAACGAAAATACTGAAAAATTAAATTTAGCACTTTTTCTATAATTTTTCCATTACGGTTCATTTTAGAAAAATCATGTATAAACAAAAATTATAGAGATCGATATCGCAAACAACTTTTAGTTCAACAATTTTCATAAAAATCAGAAGTTTGCACATTTTGTCAAATTTCTCGAACACGGACCATTTCAGGAAATGTTGACAAAGCAAAAATTAGAAGTAACTTTTATTTAAACAATTTTCTTCTCCAAACATAAATAACAGATATATTCCATAAAATATAAAAACGGCCTCCCATAAAGTACCCCCCCAGATGTTCTGACTTTGTCCAAAATCTAATCATTTCACGTCAGGCCGAAATAAAACTTTAGTTTAAAATTTAATGAAGAGGTTGAGTGGTGTGTACACACTGGGTAATAAGAAATGAATGGAACGTATTTAAAGTGTGTAGGTAGTTTTATTAATATTAATAAAACTCAGTAAAATTAGTCTTAGCGCTTTCAGCCGGTTAGGCCATCATCAGAGACTTTGTCAGTAAATATAGAAGGTGCATGAAAATTAATTATTTAAAATTTTTTATTTATTAGATTAAAAGGGCTGTCACAATACGGTCCCCTGTTCTCAACCATAACTTGAGGCTTGAAACGAAGCAAAACCAATCCTAACAGGTGGTTGAAAATTGAGAAAAAACGTGGGGGCTCATCCCAACACGTGTAAATAAACTGTCTCAACCTGTTGGGGCACAGGTAATCGTAAAACTATTATTATTTTTTTTTGTATTCAACGTTTTACGATTACCTGTGCCCCAACTTGCCTCCGCCTCACGGTAGCTACTTTGAAGGGGCAGCTGGCTTCAAGCTGAAGTTCAGGTTTTTCCATCTCTCTTCCTTGGAAAGGTTGAGACAGTTTATTTACACGTGTTGGGATGAGCCCCCACGTTTTTTCTCAATTTTCAACCACCTGTTAGGATTGGTTTTGCTTCGTTTCAAGCCTCAAGTTATGGTTGAGAACAGGGGACCGTATTGTGGCAGCCCTTTTAATCTAATAAATAAAAAATTTTAAATAATTAATTTTCATGCACCTTCTATATTTACTGACAAAGTCTCTGATGATGGCCTAACCGGCTGAAAGCGCTAAGACTAATTTTACTGAGTTTTATTAATATTAATAAAACTACCTACACACTTTAAATACGTTCCATTCATTTATTAAAATTTAATGTTTTTTCCTCTATCCGTTTTTGAGTAATATAAAGAATTATATTACAAACATATTACATGAGTTATGGTGGATACAGACACACACACAGACATCATCGTGAAAATAGTCAAAACGGATTCAGGGGACCTCAAAACGTAAAAATCCGTCGAAAACTCGAGGTCGAACATGATTCTTATAATTTCCTTATATCTGCATACAGATAGGAAAGTAAAAACGCGTTCAAGATAAATTTATGCTGCTTTTAACCATTTAAAAATTACCGTTATACATACTTTACCTTTTAGGAAAAACAAAAAAAAAAAAAACAGTAACTTTTTCTATGACTGCTTATTTATGGTTTAATGAACACATGCCGATAACTTTTCACCTTGTTAAACTATCATATTTATCATCTAGGTATTTTTAAAGATTATTAAGGAGTAGTTATAAATTATTTCTCACAGTATGAGAAATTAATAACTTTCAACGCAAGTAAACAACGTACAGCAATCATAGAAAAATATTTTATTAATCTAAAAAATAAAAAGCTTAAAAACAACGCAATAATAAACTTAATTATTATATTTAACAGAACCAGTAAATGAAACGAAAAACAACCACATTCGCGATAAAAAGAAAGATATTCATAACTAAATTAACTTAAAATTACGTTCAAGCGTACAATATATAAAACTTTAATTACAATTTTTGTAGCTCTAATTTCTGAAGAGGCTAAAGAGCCCAAGTCAATCCATATCAGTGCACAGGGGTTAGTAGAAAAACCAAATTATAGTTTAAAAAAATGTAAGATTATGTCGATATTATAATTTAGCTCGTTGGCTTTCACTTTAATTTGTTTTTGGTAAAATAATTGCGTTGATTTTTAAATTTAAGTTATGGCGTTAATTATGGCGTTTTATGTGCGTGCAATAGTATTTATTCGAATCAATCAAATTTAAACAAACATTTGAAATTTTCACAATATAAAGACAGGACCTGTATATTTTCTTGTACACGGTACAAATGCGATAGAGTGGGTGCTATGAACTAACATGGGGTAAAACACAATAAGCCAATAGGCTTCAGTGTTATTCGGAGACACATAGTCAGACGAGCCCAGGAAAAAAAAAAACCTGTTTATTTTGACAAAAGTGTTTGGAGGATGGTTGTAATCATTCCTTTCAGCAGAATAAGGGATTGATTACTCCTAACAAAAATGCATAATCTAAATTTTGAAAGGGAAGAAATGTACGTAAAATCGACCCTTAACCTTAGTTTGAAGTTCCTAATCAATGTCCTTTATTAGGAGCCCTACATAAAAATATTTTCAATGTTTTTTTTTTTTTTTTTTTTTTAGAATTGTGTATCTAAAAAATTACGTATTGAAGTCGAAACTAATGGAGAAGTGGTATTATATTACAAATTGTTATTAGTAAACCAGATAAATTATTTATTAAGTGGCAAAGAACTCATTATGAATATAAAACTGAAATACAGCCTATCTCAGGAAAATCGACAAAAGATTGAGTTAAAATTAATAAACGGCAACAAACAAGTAAAGTAAGTTAGGATTATAATGTGGCACACTTATTTTGAATCAATTTTGTTTCAGAATATTAGAAACAGCACGAGACAATATACAAAAAAATCTTAAGATAATAGATTTGTTAATATCCAAAGATATTTGGAATATAAAAACTTCATATAATGAAATTGGGGATGGCAAAAGACATGTTAATGATCTTATGGACTGAAGAATGCTATTCATAATGCACAGAAGATAATCCTGTTTTATTTTATAAAAGACAAATGGAGATAATACAAGAGGTAGAGTTGGAAATAATTGATTTTTGTTTGTCATGAACAAATCTCAAAATATTTTGGAAAAAACATCACAGCTGTAGATTGCACACATGACCCTACTGGTCATTGATAAATACAGACGAGGATTTCCTGTTGCATACATGTATAAGCTAGGGACACTTAGAGAAGCAAAATCATGGTACCTACTTTTGTGGTTCCCGAGATATAGAATATTAAAGTGCCAATGTATGTCTATCTATCAAATTACCGTTGTTTATCAACACACTTTTCAATCAATAAGCAATCAATTATGAATTTCTCGATGAATCAACTTCCGGAACACCTGGATCAAGCATCCTATGAATCCATCTTAAATCCTGAAGGTCAGCTTGAAGGAGAAGTGATCACCAAGTTTTTACAATAGGTGGCATCACAATTTCAAATTAAGCCACAAATAGATGAACCCGGTCAAGAAGAATTTTCAGAACACTATTTAGATGAAAATTATGATTTATTTAAAAACATTATATAATTATTATACATTTTTTTCAAACTTCTTGAACTTTTAATTTGCAAAAATGTCCTATTCAAATGATACACGCGGCGATGCGCTCTTTGTGTAACTTTTCAAATCTTCTCAAAATTTGAAGCATCCCCCGGTTCTTTTAAATAAAATATGAAAAACGTAGCCAAGTATATAAGACTATGAAACTTCAACAAGAAACTGAATCTGATTTTATAGTTACATTAAGCAACGATATAAAGAATATGTTAGAAGATAAGGAAACTGCAGACTTTCGCGTTCATTTTATAGACTTCTATACCACTAATCACCAGAAGTGAGCCTACTATTTCCGGAAAGGATAGAGCAATAATACAAATAAGCTGTATTAAAATATACTCCTGACAAAAGTATAGAGAAAATACTAAAATTAACCAACGGAAGAACATTCCACTACTATTTTCAAAAAGCATAATGAATCTACTTTAAAATATAAAGTACAAACTCAAAGCATTCTGGGAAATAATTAACGAGGATAAAATTTTTTATAGAGTACATAGAATATCTAATAAAATTTTTGTCATTGCTGTAATATACCGTCATTCTAGGTGACTTGAGACGAAACTTTCTAAATTCCGTTAAATTAACGCGGCAATGTTGCATTTCAAACGAATCTACGTCCACCGAACTGGACATCTACGAACTGTTTCAGTAGCGTTTGAATTGTTAAACAAGTGAAGTGATTTTTTGCGCTAGATTTTTTGTTTTAAGTAATTTCCAGGATACAAAATAATCGCCAAAACTTTGTTTATAATTCTTTACCTAACTACACTTTATCATTGACACTTTTTTTTATCAAATAAATTACTTTTTTATGTATCTATTGCGGCATAGAAAGTTATTTTAATTTTTTGTTATTATTTTTTTTATATAAACTAATGCAAAATGGCGCCTAGCCACCAGACGTTTTTTTAAGGTCGTTATTTAGTTGTTTTTTAATTTATTTTTCAGTTTAACATGGGTAAATATAAAAGAACATTTGGGAGTCGACGATATGCTGATAGCTGTTGAAGACGGAAAGGAAAAGCACGGGTAAATCCTATAGAAAACTTTTTGAATATGGAATAGCCCGCGCTACAATCCAACGGAAAGTAAATAATATCCATATGCAAAATTATGATGGTCAAACAATTTTATCATCACAAGAAGAGCAGAGAATAATAGATAATATAAATGTTGCTTGTCGTTGGGATTTCCCTTTACAGCTAACGACTTAAAAACATTAGTTGAGTTATATTTAGATAGACAAGCTGTGCAAAAATTTAGTAACAACTGGCCTGGAAAAGACTTGATCTACGGTTTTTTGAAGAGACATCGTCAAATTTTGAGCATTCCTTGGTGTGACAATATTAAACGTACTAGAATAGAAATAAACATTACGGTGAACGCATATTTTGATGAACTTGAAAAACCTCGATGGAATCGAGGCTCATCTCTTGATAACTATGATGAAACTAATACCTCAAATGACCCAGGAAAAAGCAAAGTTATTGCTCGACGTGGGTCGAAACATGCTCATAGAATTATCGACTAATCCAAGACAAGTCATTCTGTCATGTTTGCTGGTATCGCTTCAAAATGTTCCAAAGGAAGCCCACAAAACCCTGATTGGGGATAATTTGACTAGCCATTTAAGTATAAATGTTATTCAGATCTGTATAGAACAAAATATAAATTCATTTTGCATCCACCAAACTTGACTCACGTTTGTCAGTCATTGGATGTGGCAAATTTAAAACCACTCAAGTCTGCCTGACGAAACGTATTATTGGACTGGAAAATAAAGCATACAGGAACTGTGCCGAAAGATGTTTTTCCTAGCTTCTTGCATAAATGTATTAATAAACTTGATAGTAACAATAATTCGAAGCGAAATCTTCAAGCAGGTTTTAGAGCCAGTGCAATTTATCCTATTAATCGGAATGCAGTGCTGAAATTACTGCCAACAAATAATTATATGGTAACTCCTAACGTGGACAACACTAATTGATAATGCTTTCGAAATAGTGTTACAAAATCTTTATAAAAAGGAAACTGAACCTAAGAGGCAGAGAACAAAAAATAAATGGTAAAGCGGGTGACAGTGTAACGAATGTAGAAGAAAACAATGTTGAAGTTGCTAACAAGGAAAATCAGGAACCAATTCCTACAACTTCAAGAGACCTGACGAATCAACCACTATCAAATGGATGAGTCTGATACATCCCTTCCATCATTTGCAAATAAAATTCGCAAGACAAAACAAAAGAAAGCAAAAGTATCAGACTATGGCCCAGACTCTGATTTGGTCTACACATGACAACTCAGACACTCCAGAAGACTTTGATTAAAGACAATGTGAAAAATTTGACAAATATTGAAGTGGGAGAATTCGTCGTGGTAGGGTTTTCTTATAGCGCCCCAGGAAAGAAAACAGTCACAAAAAAATTTATTGGAGAAATTCTGGAAGTGAAACCCAATAACATACTTCGCTGTAAATTTTTGCGAAAAAGTTCCAATGGAAAAAACATTTTTATATTTCCACAAGTGTCTGATACGTTCGACATAAATAGAATTCAGATTATTTGTCGGGTGAAGCCAAACTTCATAAAACGAGGAAGGCATAGAAATTTAGTTTTCTATTACTCATCTACTGTTTATTTGTTTATCTTTTCGTTTGTTTTGTTATAAGCAATGTTTTAGATAAGTAAAGAACATTTTAAAGGAATATTTTGTTTTATTTTGTAAATAATTATGTATAAGAGTCACATTACTTTTTTAAAAGATCCTTTAGGTCTCAAGTCAACTTCTTGGTGTTAAAACATGAGCAGCGCATCTAAAAACGTTGTTGTCTCAAGTCACCCGGAAATGAGTATGAATTGAGAAAGCCAATTTTTTTTTTAATCATATGAAAACGTGTGCTTAACTAAAATTTAATTAATAAAATTGATTCTACGTGTGAAGACTCATTATCCTGTGTATTTAAGCAGTAAATGAGTCGAATATTTTTAGAAGTATCTTTGTGCAAAATTAAAACAGTCTCAAGTCACCCGGAATGACGGTATGAAGAGTTAGGAGGAAGATAGATAAAAGTCCATATTTGGTCAAAAGTAAAGTAATGATGACAAAATGTAGTTTTGTACCATACTAAAACGATGAAATAACGTTGACAGACAAGTAAGGATGACTTAAAAATACGATATACTAAGAAAAAACGAGGAATATCCACGTGCCAGGGGGAGAAACGCTCAAGGTCCACTTTTCCGTTGCGACACGACGATTTTATTTGCTGCAAATAATAATTTTTAGTTGTTGTTTCAACTGGTCGAAAGCGTATTTTTTGACCACGCGTTTAATAAATATGGAAGAAAGTGAGGTTAACGTAAAGAACGAGTAAGTAATATTACGAAAAAAATTCGGTTGCAAACTAATGTGATTGTAGATGAAAAAGGTTAAAGAGTTTTACTCAAGTAAGTGAAGATTCTCGAAATATAATTTATCAAAAGTTTTATGAACTGCCCAGTTACAACGATCAAAGGTCTTGCTGGCTTATTATCATTAAAGGCGCGACAGACGACAACAGACGCGACGGCAAAGGAGATAGACGCATTTACGTTACGCTTCACACATTGGAAAGCAAGGAGACGGCGACACGACAACCTCAGACGACAATTCGAGAGAACGATCAGTGTTGCCAGACCTACTGTTTTAGAGTAGATCCACTGTTTTTGTCTCTGTTCTGCTGTTTTAGGCATAAACTCTACTGTTTTCGCCAACTTAACAAATTTTAATTTATTAAGTTTGCCTAATCTTTAGCAAATCGTCAAAGAATATTTTCTCTAGTAAATTTGCTGATGTAAAAGCAGCATAATAAGCATCCACTACTGTAGGTTGGCTCCATAAAAAAAACCTCAAAATAACCATTATGCTTTTATTTAAATTGCAACAAAGAATTAATAGGGCATCATAAAAACAACATGCATGCCAAACACAACGTATTTGAATTATCTGATTCAGACTGATCTAAAAGACATACCTATTATTTTTCATTGGTCTCTTTTTTTTGTTTCCGTACGTTAAGTATATATTAAAAATGTTATTATTTGTTTTTATTCTTTGTTTACTTTCTAATTTGGATAAAAAAAATGTATTTCATATAATTGCATGTGTTCAGACGTGAAGAGATCGTTCTTGGTCTCATTTGCCGTCACGTCTGTTGTTGTTTGTCGCGCCGTCCGAAAGGATACGTTAATTCCCGTTTAGAGACGAAGACCCCGTAAATCCTGAATCGACATACCAATATAAAGTTCAAGTCCAACAAGAAAAAAATATGAATCTAGTACTGATGATCAAGTATGCTTCAAAGCTTTTATATTCATGCATGGAATAACAGGTAAAAAAGTCCAAAACAATACAACGTGCATTAAAAATGAGTAGCTCTGCTCCAGTTGATTGCACGCCTCTGTTTAGATCCGGAAATTGAGTAGAAAAGATCTACACATTTTCACTGGACTGATGACTGGGTAACCACATGAAAAGGATAAGACTGTCGATTCTGTAGCGAGGAAGACGAATCTGCAGAGCACATTTTATGTACCTGCTCCGCTTTGAAAATAACTAGGTCCAAGATCTTCGGATTCACCCGACTGACTTTAAACAAGTCTCACCCAATTCAACCATGGCCTTCATCAAAGGGCGTGGCTTGTATGGTGAACTATAAGTTAGATATGAGCCATCTGGCTCGAGGAAAGCAACGAGATCATCCCTCTCATTTTCAACCTAACCTAATCAGTTGATTGCAGAGGTAACATTCTAATAGAAAGCATGCATTCACAAAGGAAACAGCAGAGTTCGTCATCAAACAAATGTCTTCTTTTAAGTCATGCAGCAGTCACTACAGTCTGAACAAAGATCTTAGCTTGTCCAAAATGTACATGTTTAAAGAAAAGTATCCTGTTTCTAACATTTCCTATGATAGCTATAGGGGTATGTTTAATAGAAGGTTTAAACATCGCTTTTGAGTATCCCCGTTCAGATACGTATTCATTTTGTAACAAAACTAAATAACACGCAATCTGAGTTTTCAAAAGCTATTGAGAAAGGAGATATTCTCAAAGGGATACAAAAACTGGAAGTAGAGCAGAAACTTCACCTGACAAAAGCAGATATTTTTTATAAAAGAAAAATAGACGCATAGAAAGTAGGAAAAAATGGAACTCCAATCAATCTGCATTGATTATGCCAAAAACTTAAGCTGTGCCTAACATTTCGACTAATGAAGCATATTATTGTTGAAAGTTATCCGTTTATACATTCATTATTAATTTTTTATCTTCTAACAATGCAATATTTTATACTTATATAGAAATAGAAGGCAAAAAAGGAAGCACAGACGTGTATTCTTTAATTTACCAAAATCTATACAACCACTTAGATTACAGAGTAAGGAAACTGCAAATATCTGCGATTCATGAGCAGGACAGAATAAAAATTGCGACAGTTTAAATAAGACAAAATTCTAAATCTGGCAACGCCGAAAACAAAAGAATCGAGATCTGGGGCTCTATTCTCGAATAGCTTTGTCTACTACTATTGTGTATCAAAATATCCATCGACTGACACTATCCGTATTCTCAAAGCCAAATCGACATTTTAAAATCGGTGACATATTTGGCGAATGGTAACATCTGGCAACATTGGATAGAAACATACAATACGAGTATATTACAGCAGACAATTACTTGAAGAATCCCTTAGTAATACAAAATAATACTGCAAATATATCCCAAATATACATATATAACTTTTATAAATGCTAATTAGAAAGTAGAGAAAATATAACATATTTTTAACTGAAATTTCATAAGGTATTAAATATAAAATTGGAAGTGCAATTTGGTAAGAGATTAAATAGAATAGAAAGAAGTAGAAATATATAGTTACATTATAATCTAAACACGACTTCCGATTCGGACATCGTCGTGACAACATTCAAATGGCGGTCTCCGAATCGGGAGCCCTGAAGTCAAATAACAATCACTAAATATCTAGTGTAAAAGTAACCATCCGACTTTAAAAATAATAATAAATTAAATAAAATATTCTGTGCCAAGAATACAGAAGAATATTTAAACTAATTATCAAGTGCAGTGGAAGAGTGAGGACAGAAGTCCGACGCACGAGGGTGCAGCTTTTCCACTCAACAAAATTTGAAAAAATAACAACCTGGGTGGATAGTCCTCGGATTAAGCCCGTAATCACATAGAAGAAGAAGAATAAGAAGTAGAAGGAGAAGAAGAAGAAGAAGAAGAAGAAGAAGAAGAAGAAGAAGACGAAGAAAAAGTAATCTAAACACAATATAAAAGGTTTGTGATATAATCTTTTTACCTACAATTTAAAAAAATAGTTTCTTAATGACGGATTAAATCTCTTGGACCTACATGACAAATAATTGATAAATTAGGTAAAATGATATATAATCAATTCACATATTTTTAAAAACAATTTGTACAATACTTATGTCTAACAATAAATGTCGAATTCACCATTCGAGAATACGTTTTTGCGTTCTTACTCGACATTTCATCAATGACGCGTGTGACATTTAGAAACAGTCATTCGAGAATAGAGCCCCAGATCGGCGACCGGCATCGAAATCATTCACTACTGTAATAAGTTGCGAGAGAAAGGCAAGCTAGTTTTTCCTCTTCTCGCCTACCCCTAAAAAACGACTGCCTTCAACGATATTTTACATAAAATTAAATAATTTTGGTGTATAATAAAGGTGCTTTTTAGTAACCCTGTGTTTGTCCTCGAAGAGTGTAAACCCAACCAGACACCATGCAATTCATTTTCAAAAACGCTTAGATTCTATTCATATGACATTTTGTGTACGCAGGCATTCGTATATGGAGTGGCATTAAGATTTCGCTCTAGCAAGCCAAAAAAATAGAGCAGAGACTCCTGCAGATTGGATTTCAACTATTGAGAATAATCAAAGTCGGGAAACGTCAATCACATTTTTTTTTTTTCGTCAGGACACACTCCTAGAGCAACATTTATAAGAAACTTTGCCCATTGGTCACTGGATCTATTAAGGAATTAAAACTATCAAAGGAAAACCCGAGGACTTTCAATGGAAACTGAGAATCGGTTTACACCTTGGGAAAAACTCTCAAAGTGGGTCTTCATAAAGGCGAGTTTGAGATGGAGACATTTTCGTATCCAGGTAAAAATATCATTATGGCACATACACTGTAGCGACATATTTGCACTACCTATCTTTATCATTTTTTATTACATCATATACATTAAATTGCTGTCATCATTTAGATAACCAACCTTTCGTGGCAGTTCTAGCAAAGACAAAAAGTTGAACTCATCGCGAGGGAAACAAGAATTGTTTATTTATAATTATGACTTTTGTTTTTTATAGTTTTATTATAAAAAAATATACTTTTAAAAATACATTTTTATTTATTGATGGGATACAATTAGGAAGAGTATTACCATTTAAAAGATCCCACATACACCTCATTCATTAAGCTATTGTTTTAGATCTCTTGACACTTTCGTTAGACAAGTATAGAGAAATAGGAAATCTCCCTAAATTGTGTGGATATAAAGCCCAAAAACTATCTGCGAAGTTAAAATAAAATTAGCCTATAGCGAACATAAGCAACCTTTAATTTTGAACAGACATGGAAAATATTACATGGACAGATAGAGGTTAGCGAAAAATTAAAAAAAATTACTTTTCCTCTCTTCCTCTGCCACCCCTAAATGGTAAGAAATAGAAAAATATTAAAAGCGGGGCCATAGGCCCCGCCTGAAACGATTTTAAACTGCCCAACTTTCCCACATTTCTACCTCGCCCCCACCCCAGAGAAGGTCGATATATATAGAACCTCTTAACTCAAGAAAATTAACTTCGGTTATGACAGATTGATCTATGAGAAGAAAAAAAAAATCATCCCCCTCTAAATGTATCTATAATATCTCAAAATACACGAATTATGAAAAAATGTTTCACCGCTACCATAATTCGAGTATTTTGAGATATTGGTTGTATAGATAATTAATTTATTTCAAATAACCTAACAAATAATTTCTACGAACGCTTGCGCAACGATATGGATTGACTTGTGCTCTTTAGCCTCTCGTCTAGTCTACTTCAACTGTTTTATGTCATAATATGACATATTATGTCAACTGTTACATGTCCTACATCTACTACAAATATAGCAGCAATTTATTAAGTTGAAAAGGGACAATATTTAAGTCTGTGATGCTATTAACTCACTTATACGTATCGAACTGTCATTTTCGTAGGTAACTGATTTTTCTAGTATTTTAATATTCGAATAGCCACGGTAACAGTTTTACATGCCAAAGTGACAGTTACGATTACGCCTACTGTCAAATGTGACACTCCAAAACTATTTTGATTTGAAATGCCGATAAAATTAAGCAATTTTAAAAGTTGTCTAGGAATAGTTTATTTACAAAGTCCTTCCTTCTTTAGTGTTTCCGTTATTTCTGGTATGTCTATCACATATTTAATTTCGTCGACAAGGAATTCCAAAACCTTAGCTTTGACTTCCTGGCCTTCTGGAAGCAGTTCTTTAATACGGGCGTTGCATTTTTCGTCATTGGGAACGTCTAAAAATTAAGATTTATATAAAAAAAACAATACTCATAATTTTAAAAAACCGACTTCAAAATCGTGCAGGTGCCATCACCATATCTTAACCAAATTTATATGGGACCAGCCCTGTAGTATTCCCTTTCTAACAAAAAAAAATAATCATTGAAATCGGACACCGTGTTAAAGAATTATCGCTGAACATACATAAAAAAAATATATATACCGACGAATTGAGAACCTCCTCTTTTTTTGAAGTCAGTTAAAAATAAAATTTATTGGAAACAAAAAAAAAAAAACAATTATTTATATTTTTTGACAGAGCTAAATGCAAAATGGCGTGCTTTCTATTGAATGTCATAACTTCTGGATATAGTATTGTAGTAGTACACCAAATATGTCCATGTGCTCACAAAGTAAAAATTCATAATTTTTATTTGTAATCTTGTAAATTAATAAAAAACTCAACTCTAAAAATGAGACATATTTTTTTAAAAAATATATTAATTCCGTTTATATGTTTTAAAGAAATTAAATGGATTTTTCGACGGGATATTGGAAGCCACGAAAACCATTATTTTTAAGTCAAAATTTTGAGAAATAAAGTAAATTTTGGAAAAAATTAATTTAATATCGTTGGTACACAAGAATAGTGACATAACTCAAAAATTTCCATTTACGAGTTTATTGTGAAAATATATAGTAAAATCCGCAATTGGTACTTCCAAAAATCGCCGTTGGACAGCGGTTGTGTCGTTCTTCCCGTACAACAAAGTAGCGAGTTTGATGATGAAGAGTGACACAAATCTAGTTATGCTCCAACAATCAATTGACAAGATCGTCAATTTTAGACTATAGTGACATAAATCAAATGCCAGTTTAATTAAAAATAAACTAAGAAAATTATTGTTAAAGTGTTTATTATTATGGCGTGAAATATACTTTTCTGGAAGATCGTCATAACTCAAAAGAGAAAAGAAATTATAATATATTTTTTTTTTAATATAAACTTATTTATATTGCAGAAAACAAAAAACTTTAAAATAGAGATGCCCTCAAATGGTTTTTGAGTTGCGTCACTATTCTTGTGTACCAACGATATTTTGAGAAAAGTCCAAATTTTGCGAAAAATTAAGCTGTCAAGATTATTTTAATATATCTGGAATCATGTGACAATATAAAAATTAGCAAACGACCATTTAAAAGTTGTTTCAATTATTCTTCCTTTAAAGATTTGTGAATCTGAGTCAAAAGATTTCGTAGATATTTTTCTTAATTTTCAACTGTGAGATATGGCTTGGAGAATTTTGGGTTAATCTTTAGCATTTAATTTTTAAAATTTTGACTTTTCTCATTTACTTCATTTTCTTAAACTTAATTGGACTGTATTTTCTCATAATATTTACTTTATATTATAAAAATGTTGACTTTATTTCCTTATCATTTTTCTTTATTTCTTAAAACTTTAACATTTTTTTTTTTTACTTTATTTTATCAAATTTTGACTTCATTTTTTGAAACTATTAGTTTACTCTCTCAAACTTGATCAATTTTTTTTTAAATATTAAACTATTTTCTAATGTTGACTTTACTTTATAATAAACTTTAACAAATTTTTCTATTTAAAAAAAAATATTTTCCAATTATTTTGACTTTATTTTATAAAATTTTGACATATACTCTATTTAATAAAAGTTTTGATTCTATTTTTTAATTTCTTAAACAAATTTTTCTATTTTTTTTTTTGACTTATTTTATCAAATTTCGACATTATTTTCTCATGTTTACTTTATTTTATAAAAATTTTGATTTTATTTTCTTATCATTTTTCTATATTTTCTCAAACTTTAACATTTTTTTTTTTTACTTTATTTTATCCAAAGACATTTTTTCATATTGACTATTCTCAAACTTTTACTTAATTTTCTCAAATTGTAACAAATTTTTCTATAAAATCGGTTTTTATTTTCTAAAACTTTTGTCTATATTTTATACAATTTTAACAATTTCACACGTAGATTTATTTTTTAAAAATTGTTTACTTTCTTTTCTCATAATTTTACTTTTATTTTCTCAAACTGTAAAAAAACCTTATTAAAAAATAATTATTTTCTAATTATTTTGACTTTGTTTTATCAAATTTTGACATTATTTTCGCATAATGTTGACTTTTATTTCTCAAACTTTTGGCTATATTTTTTAAATATTGTTTTATAAAATTTTGACATGTTTACTTAATAAAAATATTGACTCTAATTTCTTATCATTTTACTTCATTTTTTAAACTCTAAAAAAAAAAAATGGACTTTATTTTCTAAAACTGTGGACTCTATTTTCCAATTATTTGTCAAACTCTTACTTTATTTTCTAAAAAAATCTTTACTTTTTAATTATTTTAATTTTGTTTTTTTAAATTTTGATATTATTTTCTCAATTCATTTTCTCAATTTTTCAATAATTTTATCTTTTATTTGATCAAATATTTGTTTTCTCATAATTTTGACTTATTCTCTCAATTTTTGACTTTATTTTCTCAAAAGTTATTTTTTTTAAGAGTGACTTTATTTTCTAATTACTTTGACTTTATACTTTAAAGTTTTGACATTATTTTTTTAAAAATTGAACTTAATTTTTTTAATATTTTAACTTTATTTTCTCAAATTTTGACTTTATTTTTCATTTTTTTTTTGTCAAAATTTTGACTATTTTTTTGACGCAATTTAAAATAATTACCCACCTTTGAGCGAACAAAGTATTCCCATAATGGGAATATCTTTCAAATTCCTGGGAAACTTTCTGATGTCTTTACTTTTAATAGTGGCTTGAGTACCGAAATCCACCATAGAAACAGCATAGCCTGCAGCTTCTTTATCCAACACTACCGCTCTATACCATGTAGCTAAAAAAATACAGGATGTTTCATTACTAATTGGAAATATTTCAACTATAGAATCCTGAGCTCAAAATATGAATATTTTACCCAAATCACCTATGTCTCCTGTCTGAGTCACAGGGTGTTTGTTCTATTTAAAAATTATTTATGCATAGTAGTTTAAAACTATTGGATGTATTATTGTCATATTTGGCGGGAATAATAAATACAGTTCATCAAATTTCTAGAGGCTTTCGACGGCTAGACAGAGAAAGCACTACTGAGAGGCATCGGTTGGCGGGGCCGACGGATTTACGCAATGAAAGTACACTCTGCGCATCAAGTATTTCATTCAGTCGTAAATGTCAGATGTAAATTTCGCTAAAACATTTATTTTATTTTCGTTTGTGTTTTTTGCTCATTACAGTTTAATAGAACCTAAGTATGGTGTTTAATAGCAAATTAAGAGGCCGCGTGATTAACAGTCAATCTCGCGAAATAATAGCCAATGTTATAGAGTTTATGAGAAGAGAAGGAAACTTTAATTCACCTTCAATACCATTTAAAAATGTAAATGATCGTGTTGCTGCAGCCACAGGAGTATCTAAAAACACTGTCGTCCGCATTTCTGGAGAGAAAAAAAGAATCGATAACCGTGAGATATCGGAATTTTCATCACCAAGAAAACCCATTAAAAAACCAAAAACAGTTAATGATATAGATGAAGCTGACAAAGGTATTTTAAAAAGAATTATTCTGTTCATGTTAATCTCGGAAAATATTGTTCCAACATTAAAAACAATTGACTAAATTTAGAGAAGCTACAGGGTACAAAGGAAGCTATGAAAGTTTAAGAAAAATAATAAAGTCGCTAGGATTTCGTTGGCGGAAAACAAAAACAAACAGATAAATATTAATGGAAAGGTTTGATATTCAAAAGCTACGTTTAGACTATCTGATTCGTTTAAAAAGTTATCGAGCAGAGGGCCGTCCAATTGTCTACTTAGATGAAACATACATTCATGCCTCCCACACACACCAGAAAGCTTGGAGTGATAATTCAAATGAGGGATTAAAGAAACCAATTAATAAAGGTGATAGACTAATTATTGTCCATGCAGGAGGTGAAATGGGCTTTATTCCGAATGCCCGGTTAATTTTCAAATCTGGAACCAAAAGTGGAGACTACCACGATGAAATGAATTTTAATAATTTTTCTAAATGGTTGAAAGAAAAGCTGTTTCCGAACCTCCCTCCAAGAAGCGTCATTATTGTTGATAATGCTCCTTACCATAATGTCCAGGTAAATAAAGCACCAACGTCAACTTCTAAAAAAGCTGACATGCAGGATTGGTTAAGGAATCATAATATTGCTTACGAAGAGGATATGCTCAAAACGCAATTATACAGTTTAGTGCTATTGCATAAGTCACGATTTAAGAGGTATGCAATTGAAGAAATGATAAATGAACATGGTTTTAGTTGTTTGCGTTTGCCACCGTATCATCCCGATCTTAATCCGATCGAATTAGTGTGGGCATCATTGAAACAATATGTAGCTAGTAACAACACTACGTTTAAGAGGCAAGACGTACAACTGTTGTGTGAAGACTTTTTTGATACGTTTTCTAAAGAGGAGTGGCAATCTCGTTGTAATAATGCTAAAATGTGGGAATCTAAATTTTATGACAGAGAAGTTGCTTTGGATGAGGCAACTGATAGATTTATAATTAACTTAAACAGTGACAGTGAGACTGATTTTGAATCTGATATGGAAACTGAAGAAAGTTTTTCAGAAGACCATTAAAATTATATCTGTACCTAAGATCAAAAAAGTATTATCTATTTTTACAACGAAGATGCACAAGAATCAAATTTTATTTTTTTATTATTAGATAGCTATTTTTGTTTCTGAGTTGTGTTCATTTACAGGCTCAATTTTTTTTCCGTTTCTCCTTTTTGATTTTATATGTGGTTTCAAGTTGTTTGACTTATTTCGACGTAAATCACAACAACACACTTTTTTAATAAAGCAAACAAGTGTTAAGAGGTATATGTACGTGTAAACTACAATTACAAAAAATTGATATGAAACCCATGAAACCACCACCAACAAAAATGTAAATCTAGCTTCCGTACTAGAACATGGTGTCATTCGTCGAGATAATTTATCGTTTTGTTTAATAGATCAAGAAATGTAAATATTCCCCTGTTATTTTTTATAAAATTATAAGAGAAATAAATTTTTTTCTAAATAGTATAGTTTATTATTTTGTAGAAAAACAAAATTTCGAAAATTTTAGTAATGTTTCAGAAACAACCGTTATTAATAATAGGTACCATTTTCCTTAATAAGGTAGAAATAAAATATAAATTATTTCCACGATTTACAAAGGCCTACAAAAAAATTATAGGTATTTTCCGCTATCCTATAAAATTTATATTTTCTGACTCAATTTCAAAAGGTTGAAGGAATTCCAAAACACCTTTTATGTCATAATAATTATTTTCAATTCTACATACTATCTTTAGCTGCTTTTAAAAACGTTCTAAGAAAGTCCAATCAGACCAATTTAATCCCTAAACTATTCCACACTTTTAAAATTTAATTACCTAAACATATTAAAAACTATTTAAAATAACTTGTTTAGCAGACTGTACAATAGCTATCTTAGTCACACGTAGCGCGTTCTCTGTCTGGGCGTCGAACACCTCTAGAAATTTGATGAACTGTATATTTATTAATTATTTAGTCTTCAAACAAAAACGTTTATTAAAACTCACCATCTTCTTCTTCGGGACTCTTGTAAAGGACGAGACACATATTCATATTTTCTGGTTCAAATGGAACATCATCTTCGGGCTCCTAAAAATAATCGTTTAAAATATACAAGTGATCCACATATATTTTATTAGATGACAAGAGAGTTTGAGATAATTGAAGATATTTTGCCAAAAACGACACAAGTCCAAAAATGCTTGAATTGTGATAATTAGTGGCCCATTGTTGTATTACGAGCATATATAGTTATTTCTTACAAAAGTACAATAAAAAAAGAGACATTCAGTGTCAAATATAGAGAAGAAAGTTTAATAGGACTAGCATATAGTTTCCTAAAAAAAAAAAATTCATTTTTGACATGTGTCGTTTTTGTAAAAAAGTCTTCTATATTTATTATTTCTTACCAGTACGCTAACGGTTTCGAATTGAGTCAACACTTCTTCGTTCATTGATATCAACGTCAGTTCAGTGACGTCCGTAATATTGTAGCAAACGTAACCACCAGTAGTGCCAACTTTTGCTTCAATGAACGGCATGTCGTCGTATGTTACTGGTTCCTCTAAAAATGAAAAAAGAAAAAAATATATATTTGTATACATTAATATTTTGACAGCATCATTTAAAATAACCCTATATGTATTTACATACATATAGGATTATTCATAAAGTCAACATAAAGTCAAATTTTGATAAAATCAAGTCAAAATAATTAGAAAATTAAATAGTTTTTTTAGAAAAACTTAAAAAAATTGTTAAAATTTGAGAAAATAAAGTCATTTTTTTAGAATTTGAAAAAAATTAAGTAAAATAAAGTCCAAATTTCTATAAAATAAAGACGTGAGAAAATGTCAAAATTTTATAAAGTTCAATTAAAAAACAAAAAATAAAAAAAAATTGTTAAAGTATGAGAAAATAAAATCAAACTTTTTATAAAATTAAATCAACATTATGACAAAATGTCAACACTTGATCAAATAGTCAAAAAATTAAAAAATATAGACGAAAATTTTAAAAAATAAATTTAAGAAAATATAGTAAAACTTTGAGAAATAAAAGTCAACATTTAAAAAAAAATTATGTCAAAATTATTAGAAAATAAAGTCCAATTTTTTATATAAAATTTAAAAAATAGTTTAAATTTGAAATATTAAGTAAAATTTGAAAAAATAAAGTAAAATGATAAGAAAATAAAGTCAAAACGATTAGAAAATAAAATAAATGATGAAAAAATAAAATCAAAATAATCAGAAAATTAAAAATTAATCATTTTTTTATGTAGCAAACTTTTTGGGGGTAGTAGGGGACGTCAAAATTAATGAATAGTTTTCGGAAATACGTTTATTAAGCAAAAAATTCTTATTTTAATGTCCCTACTACCCCAAAAAGTGTGCTTGTATTTACAGGGTGCCCCGAAATTAGACGGTCATATGTTAACAGCGCACAATCTACATCCTAAAATAGGAGTACATATAACCATAGGTCCGAAAATGTTTCTTTTCCGAGATACAGGGTGTTAAAAGTGAAGTCCTGATGACATACTTTTTTAATATTTTTTAAACATTTAAAGATAACTAAGTGAAATTTGGTACAAATGCTTAACTTTGTACGTTCTATTTAATGGAGTAAACCCCAGATTTTGATCATCTTCATAGGTGGGTAAATTAGGGGGGGGGCTTAGGTTAAAATTGTCCTAAGTTTTTTTTGTTGACAGTTTTTAACACTTTCGACTATACAATTTGGAAAGCCAATGTTTTCTTTATAATAAAGCTACTTTTGTTGCATCACACTAGGACGCACCATTTTCAAGAGAAAAGCATTTGAAAATTTCATGATAAGTTATCTTATTCGAAAGTGTAAACAATAATTAGTAGGCCTGTGGAATCAGAAATTTAATTTTTTTTAACTTTGGAAAACCAAAGACTAAAGAAATTTTAAAAAATATGAACTTTTACTCCTATTTTAGGATGTAGATTAAGCTATTAAAATATGATCATCTAATCGTATATAAAAAACATGATTACCCATTTTCTTTATTTTCTTAAATTTTTAAATTATTTTTTTTTGACTTTTTTTTTTAATTGTACTTTTTTCAAAACTTTAAAAATATTTCTTTTTCATTTTTTAATTATTTTAAAAATTTTATTTTATTTTCTCATCATTTCACATAATTTTTCTATATTTTTTTAATTGGACAAATTTTAAGAAAATATATCTCAATATTTTACTTTATTCTTTCAAAACTTTATCAAACATTTTTATTTTTTTTTAAATTATTTTGATTTTATTTTATCATCAGTTTACTTTCTCAAACTTTAACAATATTTTTTAATTTTTTTTTAACTGGACTATTTTTTAATCGTTTTTATTTTAATTTCTTATCATTTTACTTTATTATTTCAATTTTTTGACTTAATTTATTCGAATTTGTACATTATTTTCTCATAATGTTGACTTTGACTTTATTTTCTTATCATTTTAATTTATTTTCTCAAACTTTAAAAAAAAAATTCATTTTTCTAAAAAAAATTTTACTTCATTTTCTCAAATTTAAAAAAATAAAAAATCGGACTTTATTTTGACTTTAATTTATAATTTTTTTTTTAATTTTGCTTTTCCTCCAATTTTAAAAATTTTCTAAACTCTATTTTTTAATTATTTTGACTTTATTTTATCAAACTTTGACATTATTTTCTCCAACTTTTACTTTTCTCAAAGTAAAAAAAAAAAAAATTAAAAGATTTAATTTAATTTTTTCGTTTTACTTTATTTTATAATTATTTTACATTTTTTTCACTTCTCATGTTGACATTATTTTTTCACTAATTTTTTTACTGTGTTATCAAATTTTAACATGTTCTCATAATGTTGACCTTATTTTTTCAAATATTAGAATTTTTTTTATTTTTCTAAAAAAAAAAAAGATTTCATTTTTAAATTATTTTGACTATTTTATCAAATTTTGACATTTTCTCATAATGTTAATTTTATTTTATAGAAATTTTGACTTTATTTTCTCAAATTTTAAAAAACAAAAATCATACTTTAATTTCTAATTATTTTGACTTTAATTTACAAGATCTTGACAGATTTTCATTTTACTTTTTCTCGAATTTTAACAATTTTTGAATTTTTTTCTAAACTTTATTTTCTAATTATTTTGATTTTATTTTATCAAAACTTTGGTCTTATTTTTTCATAATGTTGACTTTATTTTCTCAAACATTCATTTTTCTCAAATTTAAAAAAATCAAAAGATTTGACTATATTTTTTCATTTTACTTTATTTTTTAATTATTTTGACTTTATTTTATCAAACTTTTGCATTATTTTTTCATAATGTTGACTTTATTTTTTTAAATTTTCACTTTTCTCAAATTAAAAAAAAAAAAATCAAAAGATTTGACTATATTTTTTTCATTTTACTTTATTTTCTAATTATTTTACTTTTTTCTTAATTTTTAACATTATTTTCTCATATTTATCAATTTTTTTGACATTTTCTCATAATATTGACTTTATATGCCCTATATGTATATTTTTATACAGAGTGTCTCGTAATTAATTTTTTTTTTAATAAATGTCTGAAAACTCAAAATTTCCGAAATAAAGTGAATTTTATACAAAAATAATAACACCCAGTATATATTTGCAATTTTATAATAATTGTTTTGAAATAAGCAACTAAAAATACAACTTTTTGTCACTCGATATTTTCTTGTTTTCGAAAAAAAAAAAAAAAAAAAATATCCAAATGTTTGCATGTCTGTGAAGCACAAAGAGTGAAAATTTCATTGACATCGGTTAAAAACTTTATCTCGGAAACGAATAGTTTTCCGACATACGTGTATTAAGCAAAAATTGTTAGTTCCCCTACTAAAAGTGTTCCTGTACATAAATAAAAAACTGTTTACCATTTTTAGAAGCTGGCGTATCTTCTTTTTTAGGCGTGGCAATTTTCTTTTCCTCAGTTTGATTTTTCGGTTTCTCAATTTCCTCTGTTTTCGGTTTGTTCGGCGTACTTGTAACCGGACCGCTATCCGGTTTACTTTCCTCCTTTTTAGGTGGCTTTTCTAGGAGTAATAATTTCTCAGACAAAAGCGACTTATCGTCCATCTGAAGATCGAAATCACGATCTTCGTTTATAACCTGTTGAAAAATAACACAATACAAAAACAAATAGAATATATTCAACTTCTAAAATGTGGAAAATTTCGTAAATTAAAATTAATACCAAAATATTACCACACAATTAATTTTTAACACTATACAATAGGTTATTCGACGCATCAAGCAAAATAAAAAAAATAATAAGACACTAAATTAAATTTATTCTATTTCTCTTCATTCAATAGCATTGTGTTTCTATACCGTTGTTCTCCTAGAGTCAGGATTGAAAAGTTACCACAGTGTATAATAAAACGGTCCAAATGCCTTTGTGAACTGATGATTTATTCATGGATCTCAACATTAGATCTTGATAAAATTTATACATGGAGGCTTTGAAACTATTTTGTACAAAATAATTTTTAATGGCTTTTAATTTTGGATGTTTATTTTTGAATTTTATTTGTAATAAAAAAAAAATAGTTAAATTTTAGCCACAGATATACTAAAATCGTTCAGACAGACGTAACTCGTAACTATATTTCTAAAAATTATCTAAAGACGAATTAAAAATGATTTACTCACCACTACGGCTTTCTCTTTCTTCTCGAACAATCCCTCCAGGTAATTGAGGCTCTTGTCGGTCAAACTGGATATGACGGGAAGCTCGGGGGTGTAGAGAAGAGTGCACGGCTCACGGGCCAAACGATCGTCGATGTTTCGCAAAGATTTGACGGACAATTGATCCTCGCCGGAATAATCCAAATATTTGACGGTCACTATCGTCGGCGAGACTTTCTTTTTGACGACGCCTCTGCACAAATTCGGCATGCCGTCCTTGCTGCACAACACCAATTGAGATTCTTTGACCGACGTCAACATCAATTCTGCAATTTAATTAATAATATAATTAATTTTAATTAAATTATTAATCACTGTTAACCAATCATTATTAATCATTAATTATTAATATTTATTAATCATTAATAATTATTAGTAATTCTTAATCAATCATTAATTATTATTAATCGTTATTAATCATTATTAATCGTTAATAATCATTATTATGCATTATTAATCAATCATTATTTATCATTATTAATCAATCGTTAATTATTATTAATCATTATTATGCATTTTAATAATTATTAATGATTATTTATAATTATTAATCACTGATCACTATTATATATTTTACTTATTTATTTAAACCTTTTGTATTTTAACTTTTTATACATTAGACTCTTATCTTAGAAATTTTCGCGGTTATTAAAATCTATCATATATATTATATGCAGTTGTATGCCAAAAACGTATGTACATATGTAGATTGTCAATAAAACTTTATTATATTAAAATCCAATTAAATAGACCTTTCAATCAAAATTTTGGAGGAAATACAAGAATTTTTGATATAAGTGACTTTAGAGTATTTGAAAACGATATGTAAAAAAATTTTGTCTTTCAGGCACCGGCAAATGTCAAAACACAAGAAAATAAAGTGTTTTTTAAGGTTATTTAAAAACGGCAGGTGCTATAAAAAAAGTGTTTTATAAAAATCGTAAAGCATAAAGTTTTAAATAAAAATGACATTTGACATTTTTTGCTATTATTAAAACTAACAGAGTTAGGGTGGTTAGAAATTAAGAGGAGATTTATATGACTTGAAAATATCATAGCGAACTGAAAATTCAATGATTTTGTAGTTTCTTTTTATTATTTACTCAGAAAATTATAAATATCTTTTAAGAAAAATTATTTTTTTTTTGTTTTTTTTTGAGTTATAACAATTTTAATTTAGAAATTTTCAATTAATTATACGAATTCATATAGTAAATTTTGAAGTAAACTTATTAGCCTGACTGATATGAAAAATATGAGGAGCGAACGAATAAAAACGACATCGCAACAGTCTGGTCACCACTTGAGGTTCCATTAAATAAATAAAAATAAAAACAAATAAAAAAGAACTAAATAAAAATATTAAAAAAACAATGAAAATAAAAATAAATATATAAATAAAATTAAACAAAAATAAATAAAAAGATAAAAGTAAAAGAAAATAAATAAAACTAAATAAAAATAGTTAAAAAAATTAAAAATAAATAATAAATAATAAAAAATAAATAAACATAAATTAAAAGATAAATGTAAAATAAAAATATTTAAAACTAAAAAAATAAAAATAATAACAAATAGTTAAAAAAATTAAATAAAATTAGGTAAATTATTAAAAATAAATAAAATTAAACAAAAATAAATAAAAATTAAAAAAAAAAAAAAATAAAAAAAAAACAAAAAAAAATACATAAAAATAATTACAAATAGTTAAAAAAAATTAAATAAAAATAGGAAATTCATTAAAAATAGAAATTAAACAAAAATAAATAAAAATAAATTAAAAATTTAAATAAATAAAAATATTAACAAATATTAAAAATAAATAAATAAAATTAGGTAAAATTATTAAAAATAAAACAATAAAAAATAACTAAAATTAAACTAAAATAAATGAAAAGACAAGTGTAAAAGAAAATAAATAAAAATAATTAAAAAATAAAAATAATAAACAATGAAAAGATAAATGTAAAAGAAAGTAAATAAAATAAATAAAAAGAAATAAATAATAAATATTGTGTAAAAGAAAATAAATAAAAATAATAAAAAAAATAAAAAAATAAAAAAAAAAAACAAAAAAATAACTAAAAATAAATGAAAAGATAAATGTAAAAGAGTAAATAAAAATAAATAATAAATAATGAAATAAAAAGAAAATTAAAAAAATAAAAAAAAATTAAATAAAAATAAATAAATAATAAATATTAAAAAATAAATAATAAAAAGAAAATTAAAAAAATAAACAAAAATTTAAATAAAAAAACAATAGTTAAATAAATTAAAAATAACAAATAATAAAAAATAAATGAAAAGATAAATGTATAAGAAAATAAATAAAAAAAATAAAAAAAATAAAAATAAATACAATAAATTAAATAATTAAAAAATAAACAAAAAATTTAGATTAATAAAAATAATAACAAATATTAAAAAAAATAAATAAAATTAGGTAAATTATTAAAAATAAAACAATAAAAAATAAATAAAATTAAACTAAAATAAATGAAAAGAAAATAAATAAAAATAATTAAAAAAATAAAAATAAAAAAACAATAAAAAAATAAATAAAAATAAAGGAAAAGATAAATGTAAAAGAAAATAAATAAAAATAATTAAAAATAAAAAAATAAATAAAAATAATTACAAATAGTTAAAAAAAATAAATGAAAAGATAAATGTAAAAAAAAATAAATAAAATAGAATATAAATAAATAAAAAATAAAGACTAAATAAATAAAAATAAATTTATTTTTATTTATTATTTTTTTCTTTATTTATATTTATTTTATTATTTATTTTCTTTTATACTCATCTTTTCATTTATTTTTGTTTAATTTTATTTATTTTTAATAATTTACCTATTTTTATTATTTTTTTTAAATTTATTTTAATTTATTTTCATTTCTTTTTATTTATTTTTAATTTTCATTTATTTTTGTTTAATATTATTTATATATTTTTTTAATTTACCTATTTTTATTTATTAATTGTCTATATTTATTTTTTTTTAATATTTTTATTTAGTTCTTTTTGGTTTGTTTTTATTTTTATTTATTTAATGGAATTTTAAGTGGGGACCAAGCTATTGGGATATCGTTTTTATAAGTTCACTCCTAATATTTTTCATGTCAGTCAAGCTAATAAATTTATTTTACCATATAAATTCTTACAATACGTATATTAAAAATTTTTAAATTAAAATTGTTATAACTCAAAAAAACAAAAAAAAAATCCTAAAAGAAATTTATAATTTTCTGAGTAAATAATAAAAAGAAACTACAAAATCATTGAATTTTCAGCTCGCTATGATTTTTCCAAGTCATATATATCTCTTCCTAATTTCTAACCACTCTAACTCTGTCAGTTTTAATAATAGCAAAAAATGTCAAATATCATTTTTATGTAAAACTTTATGCTTTACAATTTTTATTAAACACTTTTTTTATAGCACCTACCGTTTTTAAATAACCTTAAAAAAACACTTTATTTTCTTGTATTTTGACATTTGCCGGTGCCTGAAAAACAATTTTTTTTTACCTATCGTTTTTAAATACTCTAAAGTACTGGAGAAGCGGGTCGCCATTTTTGCCAAGATTCTGGTTAATTCACAACCGCAATGCGGCGCGACGTTACCAGATCTACTCTACGTTTTTCTCCAAATCCGGGGAAAAACGAGCAAAGTGGACTAAAGCACCAAACTAATAAAACTTTTGACCTCAACATGCGCCTTTTAAGATCTTTTATTCCGTTATATAAATAATCTATCACTCGATATACTAGAGAATCAGTGTTGCCATTTTTTTGGTTTTTCCCCAGATCTGGGGAAAAATGAGGAAAGTATCCTTCTATTAGGAATATTTTTATAGGAGAAGTATATGAATACATTCCTATTCTTGCTAATTTAAAAAAATGTTTTTTAATCAGATTTGTACTAGAATTAACGTATTAAAATCGAAAAGACAATATATAATAATCAATTTACTTACCGCATTTATTCAGACTTTTGATGTATTCCAAAATCTCTTTACTCTTCGACGCACACTCCTTAGTTTTCACGGCAAACTTATTACCGACCAAATCGCTTAGCAAGACCTTGTCGCCGTTTTGGATCTCCGTCAGCGGTTCCGGTATGGTGAAATAGTGTTTTTCTTTCACCGAAGTTTCTTCGACGGGTTCCTGCTGCTTGGCGGGTTCTTTGACGACTTCCTGTTGCTGCTTGGCGGGTTCACGAGCCGCAGGAGGCGACTCCGTTTTGGGCGTTTCTTTTTTCTCATCTTCTACCCGAGACTGTTGAACTATGTCGACTACACACGTGTCATCGTCATACTAAAAATAAATGTAATTTATTTTCAATTTGACAGCTGTCAATGTCATCTGCTCCTTTCGTTATATCAAAAATTGTTTTAAAAAACTATTAACGTACTTTTTGCTTAACTTTGACCTTGAGTTCCATTTCGTTTTCCAATTGAATCGAACCGGCCGATTTGAAGGACAACCTGCACGCTAGAGCGGGCGTTTTTTTGAATTTCGGCGGCAGTGTTTTGACTTCTGTAACGTTTGCCCTGTTTCCGTAATCGATGAACAGTACGTTCAATGGATCGGTAATCATAACTCTACAACGACACCTGAAATAAATATAAAATAAAGAACAACTTGGATCTGGAAGATTGGTTAAATATATTAGAAAAGTGTACCTTTTATTTGTTAAAGTAGTTCTTTTTGTAAAATAGGGGGATGTAACATTAATATGAACACACCACTCTGTACATACTTGCAGTCAGTGAAGTTGTCATTAATATATTTAACGTGTCACTACCTACATTGTCTATTATTAGACATTATTACTTTATAATACCCTTGATAACATATCTGACCAAAAATTCCCTTTTTCCGAACGGTAAATAAGGTCGTATTTAAAAAGAATATAAAAATAAATATGTGGTGTAAAAGCCTTTGTAGACTATACCTGGGATATAATTTGAAATTTTTGTTTTGGGTTAAGAGGTATTTCCAATTACGAACAAATAATTCCTGGGCTATATTTTGGGATTTTTGTTTTAGGTTATAAGGTATTTCCAATTTCAAACAAATAATTCCTGGGCTATAATTTAAGATTTTTGTATTAGGTTAAAAAGTATTTCCAAATTCGAACAAATAATTACTGGGCTAAAATTTAGGATTTTTGCTTTAAGTTAAAAGGTATTTCTAATTTCAAACCAATAATTCCTGGGCTATAGTTTAAGATTTTTGTTTTGGGTCAAAAGATATTTCCAATTTCGAACAAAGGATTCCTGGGCTGTAACTTAAGGTTTTTGTTTTAGTTTGAAATGTATTTCGAAATTCGAACAAATCATTCCTGGGCTATAATTTGGGATTTTTGTTTTAGGTTATAAGGTATTTCCAATTTCGAACAAAAAATTCCTGGGTTATACTTTAAGATTTTTGATTTGGGTCAAAAGATATTTCCAATTTTAAACAAAGAATTCCTGAGCTATAATGTAAGATTTTTGTTTTAAGTTAAAAGGTATTTCCAATTTTATACAAAGATTTCCAGGGCTATAATGTAAGATTTTTGTTTTATGTCAAAAGGTATTTCCAATTTCGAACAAAGAATTCCTAGGCTAAAATTTTGAATTTTTGTTTTAAATTAAAAGGTATTTCCAATTTTGAACAAATAATTCCTAGGCTATGGTTTAAGATTTGTGTTTTAAGTTAAAAAGTATTTCCTATTTCGAACAAATAATTCCTGGGTTATAATTTAATATTTTTGTTTTACGTTAAAAGATATTTCCAATTTCGAACAAAACATTCCTGGGTTATAATTAAATATTTTTGTTTTGGGTTAAAAGGTATTTCCAATTTCAAGCAAAGAATTCCTGGGCTATAACTTAAGATTTTTGTTTTAGTTTAAAAGGTATTTCCAATTTCGAACAAATAATTCCTGGGCTATAATTTGGGGTTTTTGTTTCAGGTTATAAGGTATTTCCAAATTCGAACAGAGAATTCCTGAGCTATAATGTAAGATCTTTGTTTTAGGTTAAAAGTATTTCCCATATCGAACAAATAATTCCTGGGCTATAGTTTAAGATTTTTGTTTTAGGTTAAAAAGTATTTCCAATTTTGAACAAAAAATTCCTGACCAATAATTTGGAATTTTTGTTTTTGGTTATAAGGTATTTTTTATTTCGAACAAAGAATTCCTGGGCTATAATGTAAGAATTTTGTTTTAGGATAAAAGTTATTTTCAATTTAGAACAAATATTTCCGGGGCTATGATGTTAATTTTTTGTTTTAGGTTAAAAGGTATTTCCAATTTCGAACAAAGACTTCCTGGGCTGAAATTTAGGATTTTTGTTTCAAGTTAAAAGGTATTTCCAATTTCGAATGTAATAATTCCTGGGCTATAGTTTTAAAATTTTTGTTTTAGGTTAAAAAGTATTTCCAAATTCGAACAAATAATTCCTGGGCTAAAATTTAGGATTTTTGCTTTAAGTTAAAAGGTACTTCTAATTTCAAACCAATAATTCCTGGGCTATAGTTTAAGATTTTTGTTTTGGGTTAAAAGATATTTCCAATTTCGAACAAAGCATTCCTCTGTAACTTAAGATTTTTGTTTTAGTTTAAAAGATATTTCCAATTTTAAACAAAGAATTCCTGAGCTATAATGTAAGATTTTTGTTTTAGGTTAAACGATATATCCAATTTCGTACAAAGAATTCCTGGGCTATAACTTAAGATTTTTGTTTTAGTTTAAAAGATATTTCCAATAAATATTTCCAGGGCTATAATGTAAAATTTTTGATTTAGGTTAAAAGTTATTTCCAATTTCGAACAAAGAATTCCTGGGCTGATATTTAGGATTTTTGTTTCAAGTTAAAAGGTATTTCCAATTTCGAAAGTAATAATTCCTGGGCAGTTTTAATTTTTTTTTTAGGTTAAAAAATATTTCCAATTTCGAACAAATAATTCCTGGGTTATAATTTAAGATTTTTGTTTTAGATTAAAAGGTATTTCCAATTTCGAACAAAGAATTCATGGGCTATAATTTAAGGTTTTTGTTTTAGGTTAAAAGGTATTTCCAATGTCGAACAAAGAATTCCTGGGCTATAATTTAAGATTTTTGGTTTAGGTTAAAAGTTATTTCCAATTTCGAATAAAAATTCTTGGGCTATAAGTTAAGATTTTTGTTTTAGGTTAAAAGGTATTTCTAATTTGAAACTAATAATTCCTGGGCTATAATTTAAGATTTTTGTTTTAGGTTAAAAGGTGTTTCTAATTTGTAACTAATAATTCCTGGGCTATAATTTAACATTTTTTCCTTACACTTTTGTCATTTCAAACCATAATATGCAATGTACAAATATCGACTTACCAAGCTCCTTCGTAATCAGCTAAAGCCAGTTGACCTTGCGTAACGTTACTGATCGTTTCAGCTTCAGCAGCGATGTCGTCCAGCTCCAGTAATAGCTCGTCAATGTTTTTAGAACTTTCAATTTCTTGTACCCAGCAGATGTTTTCCTTTTCTAAATCCGTTACACGCACCTACAATAAACGTTTTTTATGTTTAAAAATAATAAACAATCATTTTTTTAATTGCTATTGTTTTTTAAATTTTTGAACTAGAAATTACTTTTCTCTATTAAAAATGTCTAGGAAATAAAATAGTAAAAATTAGCAATGAAAAAAATCTTACAGTGTACGTTTCTCCAATTTCTAAATTGACTTTTTCGATGGTTTCTACAGTTTCCATTCTTTTCAGAAAATTGGGTTTCTTGCCAGAACTCGTTGAGCTAGTTTGTGACTGGGTGTCAAAGTTTTTAAATCTGAAATGTTTTTTTTTAATAAGTATTTTTTTTTTAATAAGTATTTTTTTTTACAAAATGTTTGTTTTACCTTTTTTGTTCTTGTTGTTTATTCTCTGGTTTTTTATCGTTGTCCCAAAACTCGCTAGGCTCGTTGGTTCGTCTGAAATATCAATAAAATGTATCCAATTTAAAAAAAAAATTGTATATTTACAATGAATTATATACATTGTTGGAAAAAATGGACTTATTACTAACTTTCTACATAAATCCTACGTTGCGATCGATGCATTTTTGCATGCACTGTAGCAAAAAATAAAATTTGGCCCCACGTTGGGCGCCAAAAACGAAATTTAATTTTAAAATCCCAAAAAACAATTTCCTTATACCTGCTCTTAAAGTTTTCTTGTGTAGCGGTCCTCTGTGTATGCGTAGGAGTAAAATTACTGGGAAGATTCTTCGGAGGCCTCATTTGCGCCGCGGTATCATCCGTGAACGAAGTCCTGCTATTGGTACTCCTATTTCGCGATTTAGATCTCGACGCTGCGTCCCTGTTACCGCCGCCTCCTCTATTTTGTTGTCGAGAATCGTGCCCACCGGACCTTTGGTTGTTAAAACCGTCAGATGACTGAAGGCTGTTGAATCCGTCATTCCGACGATGGCTGTTGAAACCGTCAGTTGACTGACGGTTGTTAAAACTGCCAGGCTTACGATTGCTGTTGAAACCGTCAGTTGACGGACGGTTGTTGAAACCGTCAGTTGACGGACGGTTGTTGAAACCGTCAGTTGGCGGACGGTTGTTGAAACCGTCGACTGACGGACGGCTGTTGAAACTGTCAGTTCGAAAATTGATGTTACGCTGATGAGGTTCCTGATTTTCCACCCTGATCGAGATGTTGTTGTTGTAGGGATTACCGATGCTATGGCGGGGACGCTGTTGGAAAATTTTCGGTGACGGTAATTCGAGCCCCAGTTTGCTTCTGCACCTAAAATGGCGTTAATATTGATTCAACTTAAACTTAATTAAGATATGGATAGACGTATTAATTATAAAAAAATGTTTTTCGAGTTATTAATGATTGAAAATGCACGTTTTACAGTATTTTTTCACGAATAATTAAAAAATAATGGAAAAACTTATCAGAATCTTTTAAAGTGCTTGAAAAGATCTTTTGAAGTCATTAATATGATAACTGGCAAAATTATCATGAAAATATAGTGGCTGTTTCGTTTAGGTACTAATAATATGTTTGAACGGTTCATAATTCTTAGATTAGAACAATTTGAAATTATTAATTAACTCCGAAACTAAAGATACTGTCGTGCGAGCCATTTTCTACCAGTCCGGTCCTGCTCTAATTCCTTAAGTCCTTCTCTGCCTCTATAGAGACGACTATGGTGGCCAACAGTCGGGACTAAATCAATATAGTGATGTAAGAAACGGTGGAAGTGCCTTCTAGAAATTTCAAGACAGGAGAAAGGTTCAACAAAGCCTTGTAACCCTTGAAAATTTTTGCAAAATGACTTTTAGGCGATCAGATATATTCAAAATATTACAAAAATTTTCAAATTTTGAAATCTGGTATATAAACAGATTTTTTCCAAGATAGCTGGTGCGGAGGGGGTTAAAATAGATACGTCACAATTTCAGGGAGTTAATTTTGTTTTGGTACAATTTTATGTAGATGCATCAATGATGCAAAAATTCGTCGACTTTGGAAAGCATCCCCGAGCTCTTTAAACTCAAAAATCTCTAAGGAGAAAGTTTCAAGTAAGTTCAACTTTACAGGCTTCAAAGCCCTTAAAATCCTCTGCAAAATGGGTTTTTGAACTATTAGATACCTTTAAAATTAAAGAAATTATCAAAAAAAAAAACATTTTAAAAATTTGTAAAATTAGGGGATCTATATTACAATTTTTTTTTAAATTTGTTTTAGAACAGGTTTTTTGCATGCAGAGAGGGTTAAAAAAGATAAATACGACACAATTTTAGGTGAGTCAACTTTGTTTGGTAGAATTTTATGTAAATACATCAATGATGCAAAAATTCGTCGATCTTGGAAAGCATTCCTACGCCCTTTAAACTCAAAAATTTCTAAGGGGAAAGGTTCATAAAGAGTTCACCTTTACCGGGCCTTGTAGACCTTAAAATCCCCTGCAAAATGGGTTTTTGAGCGATTAGATATCTTTAAAATTAAGGAAGTTATCAATCAAAATTTGTTAAGGGCATCTATAGTAATTTTTTTTTCAAATTTTGAAAACCGGTATATAAACGGTTTTTTTTTTCTTCAATATATCTGGTGCGGAAAGTGTTAAAAGAAATATGACATAATTTCAGGAGAATTTTATGTATTCAAAAATAGCTCTTTAAACTCAAAAATCTCTAAGAAGAAAGGTTCCCGAAAGTCCATCTTTACAAGCCTTGTAGACCTTGAAATTCCCTGCAAAATGGGTCTCAAGCTATTAGATATCTCTTAAATTAAGAAAGTTATCGATAAATAACCGTTTTAAAAATTGGAGGTTTATATTCAAAAAAATTTCAAATTTTCTATTCTAGAATATAAACTATCGAAATCCCCATTATTAAAAAGATAACTATATTAATTTGAAACTTTAAATTTAAAAATAAAAACAAACACCAACACTTAAGCAAGTCAAAAGACAAGTATTAAGTAAAACTTATTTGTTTCATAAAATATCAAATATTAATAAAAATCGTTAGGAATTAATGAACATATTCAAAATATCAAAAGATACTATTTCTTGAAGCCTTTCGAAATCTATTGAAAGACGTACCCATAATCTTCAAACTTTAATGGAGTACAGTTAGTATTGACTTTAAAAATTCAAGTCAATACACTTTCAGAAATTAAAGAAAAACTGTTTATATAAAATAAAAATATGTTAATATAAATCCAACCATTTTATAAGCTTTTAAAAAAAATTAAGATTCTCAAAACCAAGTTATTAAAAAATGCCCACAAAGTGCCCACAGGTAGGGGACCTTAGTAATTAAAAAACAAACAAACAAAATAATTACCTGCTTATAGTTTCTACAATATCCTCATTGTTTATAAATGTTATCATTCTGTCTAGTAAATATTCACTTGCTTGTGACAACATAAACAAGTCAAATTCTTTTGCCACGATAATTTTCCTTAAAAAAAAAAAATCAAATAAATAATCATAAAAACACAATATTTTCTAACATAAAAAACGCAGCAACCTCCCCACCTAAATCCCCTCAAAATCGTTGGACATTAAAATACATGACTTTCCACTAAAGTTAGATTTCGATAAAAAATTGAATGCTCTTCTTCAAATATTTCTAATCATGAATATTAACAAAAATTATAATATTAAAAAAAAGTTTTAACCAAAGAATTTTCTTCTCCAATCATAAATAATAGAAATATACCAAAAAGTACCCCTAATTGCACGAAATTTAATCAACTCTTCAGAGCCCCTTGAAATCCCATCGACATCAACCATTGGATCTTTAATTTTCTTACCTGTCCATGTTCCTAAGCATATCATATTCTGTACGTTTGAATATCGAGAATCCCGTCATTTTGACATCGTTGAGACTGACGTAGACTTCATCGTTATTATCGATAGCTACTTCAATCGGATCACCGAATACGTTCACGTATTGATCGGCGATCACTTGGCAGTCTTCATACATGTTCGTTTTTATAGGCTCTCTATCACTGAAATACAGATTTGTATAAATTTCTTTATTGCCCGATAATTTTTTTCACATCATTATATTTTATTACCTACACCATTTTTGAACTTACTAGAAATTAGTTTTTACACCGTTCGCAGGTTTAGAGTTTTCTTTAAAGATAACCCTCCACCCTAGCAAATTTGTCTTAAAATTCTCAGCTGCTATACAACAGTCCCTAAAAAATTATTTTATCATTAAAAACGTCTCAATATTGTATGGAAGTTTAATATATCCGCTATTATAGAAAATATCAAGAAATGTTATTTACAAAAATTGTAGATAATGTTAATCTGCACATTAAAAATTATTTTCGAATATACAGAGTGATCTATAGCTTCAGAATTGATCGAACATTTTCTCTAAAGACAGACGCTAATAATGTAAATTTTTAATCAACAAAACTACTAAAATTCTTTACCTTTTCTAAGACCAATGCTAATAATGTAAGGTTTTTCAACAAAACTACTACGACCAATGTTAATACAACTTTTCATTCAACAAACTCTACTAGGTTGCAATACTTTTTCTACTATTCTATTAAATGTAAGTTTTTATTCAACAAAATGTACTAGTATAGGGTCAAGTGGTGTAAAAATGAGACATTTTATGAAACTTTTCATTTTTGAACTGGTATCTTTTTAAAATAAATTTTCAAAAATTGCCATACTATGAAAATTTTGATGCAGAATAACACAAAAACGAGCAATTCAAGGAAATTATTATGGGTTTTGAGACAAATAATAATACCCTTGTCTCATTTTTACCTGCCACTTTGGGTAAATATGAGACAGTGGGTGGGTAAAAATGAGACATAACAGTATCAGACATTTATAGTGACAACGGTGGTCTGGGGCAATACTAAGACACCCTGGTCGAAAAATGAATCACACATTTATATGGGTTTTCTCAATTTTATTTGAAAAATGCAGTAAAAACTTAAAAATAATATTACAGAACACTTTTTGGGTAATTTTTATCCCCTACGCCAAATTTTTAATAGGAACAACGTATGTAAAATACAATTAAAACAACACAAATCAGTGTTCGCAAATTAAACAAAAAATAAATTCAACTCTACGTATATTAAATAAAAAAATAAAAACATTTGTTAACAGTTAATAGGAACTTAAATTGCGCTTTGCATATAAAAACAAAATACAAAATAATTAGTTCACATTATATTTATAAATATCAACCAAAAATACCAACTTTTGTGAAACTCTGAGTACCTCCAGGAGTTGTGGGAGCAGGTAATTTCATTACAATGTCGTCCTTTCGTACATCATATTTTTCGGGTATTTGAGGGAATATAAATTTTTCACCTTTTCGGCGCAAATAAGATACAGAAAACCCATCTTCTATAACTGATTCTACTAGCGCAACGTAATGTAACTTCTTTTTTTTTTGCCAAAACTTTACCAAAATATAGTACCCAATTTTTATTTCTGCTGTTAAATAATAAAATTCCTCGATCTCCTGCTTTTCCATTTCTTCTTCTAATACTTCTTGTAAGGTCATATTTTCAGTGTCGCTTTCTTCTTGATAAGAAATACTTTCAACGTCCGAAGAGGACTCGGTGATTTTTTTTCTTTGTTTCTTTTTTTTGTGGCAATTCTTTTTCCTTGATACTATTTAAATATTCGGAGCTAGTTAAAACAGCACAACCGGAATTAATTTTGCGCCTTCGTTTTATTTCAGGATTTGTTTTGTTGATTTTTTGAAGCAAAATATGCTCAAATGAAGTAGACGAAGACGGTTGTGGTTCAACATTATTATTTTCAAATGAATCAGTTTTGTTACTCTTATCTTCGTTTGGTCTATTTTGCTCAATTTCCGGTTGGCTATTGTTTGCTTCAAGCTCATAATTTTCCTCTTCTTGGTTTATTTGGTATATGTTGAGAGAATAAGAGTTTTGAACACTTTCGTTGTATTTTTGCAGCTTTATTGCATTGAATCGTTCTACTGGATATTTTTCCCTAGAGCAAGGAAAAATACCGGTTGATTCAAAAGACTTTTTTATTACGGCCTCTGTAATCCCTTCGTTTCATTGCTCGCAGATCATATCAGCAAATTCGCTTTTGGTGAGACGTCTCTGATTTAATCTCTGCCACTCTGTAAGTTTCTGATTCCATTTAAGCTTTAGTGGTCCAAAGCAACACTTGTCTAATGGTTGCAAAATATCTGTGGCGTGAGGTGGTAATTTAAACAAAATGATATTATTTTGCACGGCAAGCTGTTCCATTTTCTTCTGGCGGATCGAATAGACAACTTACCTTCCTTTACTAAGGTAAGCGCCATTTTTAGGTCTTCGTCTGTGTACGGCTTCGCTTTTGGGACGTAATTGCTAGGCATTGTGTATTGTAGAACCTATAATGGAAATGGTATATAAATGTCTTATTTTTACCCCATGAAGCGTCTCATATTTACCCAAAGTGGCGTCTTAAATTTACCCCGGCAAAATAACACTTACTCACTCAATGACTCTTGGCAGCAGACTGTCCGGTAGACATGGGTAACGCAGCGCTGCGTTGCGTCATTGCGTTAACGCAGTTGTATGCGTTACGAGCGTTGATACACCAGCTGTTACTGTATCAGCGCAACGCAATTTTCGATAGAGTCGAAAGGATCGCGAGTTGTTGGTGCGCCATGCGCCAGGCACTGATTCCGTTTTCCGTGACGAGTTGAGAATTTTAATTTACGTAATTGATGCAACTCGTAATGCAGATTACCCAAAATCTATCAAGTAATTATGTTCTTTGCAACATGTCACATCATTTGTAGGATTGTAGGTCGAATTTTATGGATTTTAACCTTGTACACTGGCAGTTTTTAGTTCTTCCCATTTTGATTGGCTACTAGTATACAAAAGTTATATCCTTTTTATATAAATTGGAATTTTTGTATTCTTTGTAAAATCCGAACACAATGAAATAAAAAAATGGGTGCATTACACTGTTATATTTTCGTTTATTTTTAAACATATAATAAAAAAAATTTAATTAAATTCCCAATTGCGTTATTGCTTTGAACACGGTTTGAATCTTATAAAAGGAGAGCCCGCGCTGAATAACACCGGTATCATGCGATAAACCGAGGTGCATCGACTTCATTCGGCGCAGGCAATGGTGTGACGTAATAACGCAATGAGTTGGCGCCGGAGTTAGTGTATCAACGCAAAGAATTTTAGTGCGTTACCCATGTCTACTGTCCGGCTCGTTCTCAGAGCGCCGGTACACCTCAGTCTTCAAACTGCGACCTTGATCGGGCGCGCCCGATGAATTACCACCGGCGTGGCAACAAAGTTTGTGCGGCAATTTTAAAAGTTTTGGTCATAAAAATTCGACTTATTGAGTTGTATTAAATTATTTTTGTATAGATTAATATTGTTGTTTGAATAAATATGCAATTGGGATCTACAATATGTAGACTTTATTACTTCTTGTCTGCATCTCATTCAAATTATTTTTAGCTGTAAAGAATCGACTGTCTCATTTTTACCCAAAATATGTCTTGTCTCATTTTTACACCACTTGACCCTACTATTTAAATTTGATCAAAACTGGTTTAAACTTCTATCCAGTATAATCTCGTACTTGTTGGTATTTTCTTGTGGGCAAAGTCGGGAGAACTCAAATTTAGAATCAAATACAGGGTGATCCAATTAAAAAAACATGTTTAATCAATTCTGTAGTTATGGATCACTGTATATTCGAAAATAATTGTTAAATGTGCAGATTAACATTATCTACAACTTTTGGTAATAACATTTTTTTTTTTATAATAATGGATACATCAAACTTTCACATACTATTGGGACACACTGTAAACAGTGCGTTCATAAAGTGTGGAAACGCTGCATTATTTTGAGAGGTAATTATTTTCTAAAAAAAAATTAAATAAAAAATAAGGTATTAAGGGGGGTTGAAATATTAAAAAAAAAAAATCATAAATCAAAATCGATAAGCCATATAAACATAAAATTTTTAGCGAAAATCAAGTAGTACAAGAAAGGAAGTTTATTAAAAAAAAAATTGAATAAAAATTGGGGATAAGGAGGGGAGGGTTGAAATATGAAAAAAAATACTAACTTCAGAAACAAAAAAACAGGCTTATAAATTTAATGACGTGTTTAAAAGTTGCTTAGTGGTTTTTAGATGTTTTCATAGCTTGCTTGAATTAACTAGCTGATAAATTCTCAGGTTTTCATTGAAAAATAAATAATGAGGCAAATGTTAAGAGATATGACACTGGTTTCCTTTATACTCAGTATATGTAACTCAAAGTATTACATATGAGATAAGGTAAAATGACCAATGAGCGACACTCCAAATTGTTCATACCAATACTGTGGCCGGCGCTTAAAAGGTCATAAGGCGTTTTTTACTTAAATTGAGTTTTTAGTCATGATACGTTTAAAAGAGTGTATATTTTAGGCAAATAAAAGGGTACAAGTCTATATACGTTGTAAAGTAATAAAAAAAGGTACAAAAAACATATATAATAATACAAGGGTAACCGCGAAAGACAAAACGTCATAATTAAACATAAACTGTCAAATTTTGTAACATAAAATAGTTAAAACTAAATATTTCTACATATTTTTTATTTTTACAGGACCAAATCTCCTAAAAATATCGTCGATTTGGATTCTAAAGATCCTTATTCATATGTCCCTAAATTTTCAAGCGCCATTCTCCAAAAATGTGTAATATCAACTTATTATCTTTTAAGCGCCAACCACAGAATAGATGACACCCCAAATTCAATCATGATTTATAAAAACTGCAAACGCATTTTAGTATTTTGTGAAACGTGGCAAGATTGTTTCATTACTATGCGACTGCATGCTGGGGAATATTCAGTTGCCAACTGATTGTGGTAGAGTGCAGAGCATCAGTTCTCTTGAATATTAAAAAAGTTGGAAGAAACAAAGAAAAGTTGAAGATCAGAAAAAGAACAAAAGAAAGGAAATCAAAAATCCAAAATAGAAGAAGATAGTGAATCTTCAACAGCAGAGTCACTTTCAATAAGTAGTAGGGAGTCCTCATAGTGGGATGAAGATTTTGAAGAGGAAGTCAATGGTATTTCAATTGAGCCAGTTTCTTTTGAAGCTATTGTGGAAGGCGACTTCATACTATGCGAATTTGTTGAAGGAAAACGAAACCAAACAAAGCTTGTTTATTTATGGGTTGTAAAAGAAAAGAGCGATTTTGTGCAGGTGATGGGACTCAAATCAACGGACAAAGATAAAAAACAGTTTGTATCAAATGAAAATTATATTTCCTCTGTTACCATTGACCAAGTGATTGGCAAAGTGCCTCAACCAGAAATTTTGAGTAGAGGAGAGAGAATAAGTTACCTCTTTAAAACGTCATTACCAGTCAAAGAAATTTAAGATTATTTCAGCACTAGGCTAATTTCATAGGCTAATGTTTTCTTTTCACAGCTATTCGTATTAATTATTTTAAGAATATTTGTTTTTTTACCAAATAAAACATAAATACAATAGGTATATATGTCATCTTTTGGTAAAGTTGCTGTCAACTGTTGGCACATATTCATTTATGGGTGTCATCTATGGGTGAGTATGTTATATATTTTTTCACAATATTTTTTAATTTTAACTTAAGTTTGAATTATTGTTAGTTCTCTTAAGCAATATTTTATAAGTAAATTTGGCATCAGAATGTATAAACTATGATTTTTTCCCCCATTTGCTTCCCTTAAGACTGTCATCTATTGGTCATTTTACTTTATGTAGTATAGTTGAACTCAGAAAATATAAAAATATACAATTTCAATTTAAAAAAAATATCAATGGCGTCATATCTTGAAAATAAATGTGGGTAAAAATTATTTTCTTCCGAAAATAGAGCATTTCCTTACTTTATGAACGCACTGTATATTTTTTGTGTTATAACTTACTCCCTACTGTGGAAATAGACTTGAGCAAACTTTCCACTACTTTCAATGTATATTTTGCGGATATCGCCGAATTTCCCGAATTCCTGTACCAGGAATTTCTAAAATAAAATGTAAACAAATTTAAAAAATACACTAGATTCTAGACAATATATTTTTGTCCAACTGGTAAAAAATACGACATTTATTGTGTTTGTATTAGAAAACGATAAGTATATTACACAATATTGATCCATTAAAACTAATCAAGATACAGCCTTTTATAAAAAAAAAGTCACCCGGTGCACCGAATACCGACGCGATATACATTCTGTGCAAGCAGGCGAATAAGTAAGTCCATGTATAACGTTCATGTACAGTGATATATGACGTTTATTTGGTTACAAAAATCAGAGTACTGTCGACCTGAATTTTTACATTAAATTTAATGCAATAAATCGAAATGCAACAAATTTTTACTCATTGGCATTATTGTTGTCCAGTTGGACAAAAGATACTATTTGTATTAAGTGGCGAAATCAGTGTTTTATAACTAGTTCGATTAAAGAACCCCGTACAAATCTTATGGAAATTGGCTCCCGGTCAAATTGGCTGAAATTTGGATATGTTGTTCGTTTCGGCATCCTGAGCAAAAGTCTCAATGGACACAAAGTTCAATTTTGCTTATTTCGGCCCCTACGGAGCTCCAAAGCTCCACCAGTATTTACTACTTAAAAAAGTTTAGTTTTGGCTGCGTTAAAAAAGAAGTACCTTCTTATGTTTTCGGGGTCGCTCCATTCAAATCCAATGCCAATATAATAATATTGACAGTTGACAACTATCAACTAGCTGTCAAAAAACAAGCAATAATCAAGATTGAAAAATCCACATATAAATATCTGTTTTTGAGGCAGCTGAGTTCAAAACTGATGTTAACAACTCGATATTGACAGTTGACAGCTATAAACTGTCAAAAAGTATGTGACAATCAAAATTAACAAAATTCAGGAGTGAATAGATGTTCTCAATTGATGTCAAAAAGACGATATTGACAGTGATCAGCTGTTAACTAACTGTCAAACAGCATGTGACAATCAAAATTAATAAAATCCACATGTAAACGTATGTTTTTGAGATCGTTAAATTCAAAACTGAAGGTAAGAAAAACGATATTTTAAAAAACAAGTAAAGCTTGCTTGCTGCCATCTCATTGTTCCTCTATCTTGACACATTATCATGCACAGTCAAATATTTAATTAACGATAGTACTCAACTGTCAATATCGTCTTTTTGGCATCAGATTACAATTAGGCAACCTTAAAGACATATGCTTACAACTCAATTTTATCAATTTCAATTGTTACATACTGTTTGACAGCAGTTGTTAACATCAGTTTTGAATTTACCAACCAAAAAAAACAGATATTTACATGTGGATTTTATCAATTTTGATTATTGCTTGTTTGACAGCTGTCAACTGTCAATATTTTTATATTGCACATACTTTGATTTTCTTTTACTATACGGAGAATGGTCGCACTGCGCAGCTTTCTGAGTGTGTTTTAAAAGGAGATAGAAAACTCCGCCATTTTGATCCCTTATTACGTCTTGCCTACATCTTGGCGCAATATTTTTAATAGGTGCGTTTTAATCATCCGCTTCTGCTTCGGAATTGTCGGTTTTCTTGTTTTAATCTGACAGGTTAAAACGACTAAACCGACAATTCCGGAATCAGAAGCGGATGATTAAAACGCACCTGATATTTTGCTTGCTGCTGTCAGTGTCAGTGAATATTATTTTTGGAGTCACAGTTTATTGCTAAAGAATCAGTTAGCTCACTCGGACCAGTTGAAAGTTCCAAAATAACATCCACTCCAGGGATACAAATTCAGGATACGCAGAAGACTGCTGTTTTATTATAGGCAGTTGTCATATATTGTATTATCCGAGTTGCGCAGTGTATAAACTGGAACATTGAAATCAAAAGTGCCGACGCAGAGTGAGCGATCTGATTCTTTAGCTATAAACTGTGGCATAGGAATCAAAATGGCTGCGCCCTATGTTGGGCATGTCGGACCTCTCTCTTGCACCGTATAGTAATCAAAGTATGTGTTATATTGGCATTGGATTTGAATGCAGCGACCCCGAAAACATAAGATGGTACGCAGCAAATACTAAACTTTCGAGGAATTTCCTTTTTAAATAATGGTCAATCCGTGGAGCTTTGGAGCTCCGTAGGAGCCAAAATAAGCAAAATTAAGCTTTGTGCCCATTGAGACATTTTCTCAGGATGCCGAAACGAACAACATATCCAAATTTAAGCCAATTTGACCGGGAGCCAATTTCCATAAGATTTGTGCGGGGTTCTTTAAAAATTGAACTCATTTCACACACTTAATACAAAAATAACTATTTTTCTAGTAGGATGTGTAAAGTACTAACTTTATGCACTCCGTATAGAGTCTGAAGTTCAGTTTTACACATTCTTGTTTAGATAAAGAAGGTGTAAAGAAAAAATCAACAGTTGTATGTCTTGGGGGCAATTTAAAAATCATTTAACTGAGTAAATTATTATAAAGACCGTATAAGAATTAAAAACATTTTAATAAATTTATTTATATCTAAATATATAGACAGAAATAAAGATTCAAATCAAATCAGTTTATTCACCATAAAAGGACATTCACATAGTGAAAGTCACTTATCAGGCTAGTCGAGTCTAAACAATATTAAAATTTTTAAAAACAATTATCTTAAAAAATAGTAAACATTTAATTATATACATAAGACTACTTATATTATTAAAAGAAACATAAAATTTAGAAAATAACCTTCATTGTGTAGTCCAAGAATTGAGGAACTCATCAATATTGTAAAATGGGTTACTGTATTTTTTTTTTTTAATAAAAAATGAAACTTGAACAATTTATGCAGGAAACAGAAAAAAAAACTATTTAAAAAAATTCATGTATTAAGTCCGTTATTCTTGGAATATTCTGATAAACTTTGCATTATTTTGGAAAATGTATATTTTACTAACTATACAGAATTTTTTATATTTGTTTAATAATTTTATATGAAGCGTTATAAAACTTTGTCCCTAGATAATTTACACTGTTTTTAAAAAACTCACTATTTGGTTTTGGTACTTTAATGCACATGTTCGATGCAGTTCTAGTGTTATGTCTATGTTCTAAAGGGTTTTTTAAAAATTAATTTTTTTTGTATATAACAACACACTGCGTGAATATATAAACATCTAACATTGCTAATTTTTTCATTATATAAAGTTATGGTGGGACACAATCTGTCTTTTTTATATATAAACTTGAATATTTTGTTTTGAATAACATTTAACTGATTTAATGTATTTCCATATAGGCCTCCCTATACTAACATACCGTAGTATAGATTCTACTAGACTGTAGTATAATGTTATTAGTAGATCTTGGTTGAGAAATTGTTTTAGAAGATAAAATTTATAAACCAGAAACCTAAGTTTTTTGCTATATATGGCAGTCCCATTTTAAGTGCTGGTCTATAATTATACCTAAATATTTGGTTGTTTCGTTTCCTGTATGTCTAAATTTTGACATGTTAAGCTTCTAAATTGAGGTCGATCAGCCACTGTCTTTGAAAAAGCAATGTAGTTTGTTTTGTTAACATTCAAAGACAATTTAAAAACATCCAGCCAGTTTTTGACATGTTCCATTCAAGCTATAGCATGTGTCTTGACAGCTTCCCAATCTTTATCACTGAAGATTAGCTCTGTATTATCAGCAAAGACCGGACATTTTAATCGCGTTCAAATAATTGGTTTTAATCACATAGGCGTCTCATTCTGGGTTCGCTATTTAAGACGGCAGACAGTGCGGCAGATTCTAATACTATCAGGACAAACCTCTTTTTTTTATTAAAACAAGATAAAAAAAGTGTACTGATATATACATAGACATTAAAACTAATACAAAAAAGTGAGATTTTTTTTTATCGTGTACCTATATTCTTTGTCTTTTGAATCATTTTCATTAAACAAATTTAATGTTTTCTTCTCACCAACGCCGAGGATATGTAGGATATTTTACAAAAGTTTTTAGTAACCTCAGATCCTTTAATTTGTGGCCTGAGAAATTTTCCTTAAAAAAAAATAACTTTTTTGATGAAGATGTTAAACTTTTCATAAGCGAGTTTAAGGTGTAGTAATGTAAACGATATTCTGTATGATATTTTTTTTATTATTATCTCTTATATAATTACAAAATATCTATTCCTCAATATTTTGGCGTGGTACACTACTCTCCTGCCTAAAATGAGGATCGAGGACCCCAGCTGCCTCCCCCGAATTTGTTATTTCCTCCAGAAAATTGGAAATTTCTAGCCTTAGCTGGTCCCGATTCATTGTTGGAGAAATTGCATCGGGGCCAAATATTAGGACTCTACGAGCGTTTGGACTAAGACGCTGTAGAGAGGGCCTAAAATGAATGTCAAATAGGCCCATCATATGTTGTCTTATACTTTCTCGATCCATTGTCGGTTAGTTGCCGGTGATATTTTTATTCAAATAAAGTCAATCCTTATATTATATTTATGAATATTTTGGCTTTTATCGATACCGTACATACCGATTTTTTGTAACAAAACATTTATGTTTTTATTTCCTGTGGATATTATGGTACTTATACACGATGAGACAATAAAATAAATGTCTGTTAAATTTCTGTAATGTATGTATTAATTCAATTGCTCACTCTATATAGGTATCTGTTGGTTGAAAAAATGTAAAAAGATAACAAAGAGTCGATAAACAGGAGATTTGAGAAGAAAGTGTCTTGTAAAAATATCACTAGATTTTTCCAATGAGTATATTTGTTTAGTTCAAAGGGAAAAGTGATAGAAACTGGAAACGTAAATATGGAAAATTTATTATCGGACTTTGATTGTTTTCGTCGTTTTAATGACAACAAATTATACTGCCGCAATTGTGATCAGGTGTTAGTTTTTAATGGAAAGTCAAGTATGACACAACATGTGAAAACACAAAAACACATGCAATCTTTAGAGGGATGTCCAGACAAAATCTTTTATGAAGATTTATGCAACGCATTTGTTTCTGCAAATATTCCATTAACAAAATTAAATAATACAATTTTCAAAAATTTTCTTTGTAAATATACTAAACGTAAAATACCGGATGAATCCACAATTAGAAAACATTATATTCAAAATCAGTACGATAAAGCAATGACGGCAATAAAAACGAAAATTTCCAGCAAATATATTTGGGTTAGTGCAGATGAAACGACTGACATAAAGGGTAGATGTGTTGTTAATGTTGTTGTAGGATTATTAAGTGCTGAAAATACTTCACAACAGTATTTAGTTTCTAGTGTGTTTCGTGAAACTGTGAACGCTGAAATGATTTATGAAATAGTGAAACGTGGATTGAACAATGTAATTGATAATGACGTTTCAAAAGTTTTATTGTTTATTTCAGACGCGGCAAGTATAATGTTGAAAACAGGGAAACTATTACAAGAACATTTTCCAAACATGCTGCATGTAACTTGCCTTGCTCACGCGTTACACCGAGTTTGTGAGTTTATCCGTGACAGCTTTCCAGACATTAATTCGTTGATTAGCTGTTTTAAAAAAAATTTGTTAAAAGCACCGTCCCGAGTTTCTTTATATAAAGAAATATGTCCGAATATCCCCCTACCTCCACAACCAGTTATTACACGATGGGGAACTTGGTTACAGGCTGTGTTCTTTTTTTCGGAGCATTTCGACAGACTAAAAGTATTTATTTCCAACTTATCAGAGGACGCTCTCTCTATCACTCAGTGTAAAGGTTTAATAACAAAAACAACTTTGCAGTCGGAGTTAAATTTTCTTGCGACTTATTTTTCGTGTCTCCCAGAAACTATAAAATTCCTTGAAACCCGTAACTTACAATTATCGGTTGCTATGGAAAAATTTGAATCGACATTGTTACACTTAAAAAACGTAAAGTGGCCCTTACAAGATAAATTTAACCATAAAATAGATTGTGTTATTAAAAGAAATCCAAATTTACAGACTCTGAAACAAATCTCCCTGAACAATTTTAACGATTATGAAACTGCTTTAAAATATTGTGATTTTGTTCCACATTTTTCATTTGCTCCTGTAACGAGTTGTGACGTAGAACGATCGTTTTCTAGGTTTAAAGATTTATTGACTTCTAAAAGAAGTAATTTCACTGAAGACAATTTAGAAAAATATGCAGTCATACAAACATATTTTTCAAATGAAGAAGATTGATATTAATTTGTATTGTATATATTGTATATAATTGTATATTTGCTACTTTAGGATAAAGAGTGTATATTGGAACACTCTAAACATAAAACTAATGATGGTGTATCCTCGTTGATATATTTATTAGTCAATAATATATTAACAGAAAAAGCCAACAACATTATCCCACAACACAATAAAAAAATAAATAATAATATCATTTGTAATTATATAATAATATCCAACCAAATTTGAACTAAAATTTAATAAAATAATTATTGCAATGTAAATGTAATAATAAGCCCGCCCCAAATGTTACGCCCGGGCGATAAAAATCCAATATCTTATCTACTGTGTCGACCAGTTCAGTAAATAACTTGTTTTATTCAGAATGTATTATTCAAATCGAAGGTCCGCTCTTACCGTTACTTCGCTGATAAGAATAAATTAAATTGTCCGGTCTTTAATTATCAGCATATGATACAACTTTACCTTGAATATCAATCTGAGTTAAGCTCTTAATGTATAAATTAAATAGTATAGGTCCCAGAACAGTCCCTTAAGGCACTCCGATTTGTATATTTTCAGGGTTACTCACATTGTCTCTGACCTTTACCTTCTGTTGTCTGTGTCAAATAATTTTCAAAAACCTTCAACACTATGCCCCTCACTCCATTATGTTCAAGAACATTTAAGAGCTTCTGATGTGGCACCCTGTCAAATGCTTTTGCTAGATCTAGAAATATAGCTATACACTTGTTACCAGTATTCATTTTATCAGTAACATATGAAATCAATTCATGCATAGCATCTCCTGAGTTAAGACCCTCAGTAAAGCCATATTGGTGATTGGGAAGTAAGTAATTAGTTTTTAAAAAATCTGTCAGTCTATCTTTCACACATTTCTCAAATATTTTGGCCACATTACTAATTAAACTAATAGGTCTATAGTAAGTTATTAATTTTGGATTACCAGATTTATAAATAGGTGTTATAATTGAAGTTTTAAATTGTTTAGGTACGATTCCTATATTAAAAATACAATTAATTATATGCATTAAAGGTTCCAGTAAATACGGATGTAGTAGTTTCAGATGTTTTACTGTTATACAATCAAATCCCGGGGCACTATTGTTTTTTAAACTATTTATGTGTTTTATATCGTTTTCAGAAACATTGATTTTTCAGTGACACAGGAAAATCCATATTACATTTAGGGATATTTGTGAACATATTAGTGCCAATAGTCGAAAAGTAGTTATTACAGTATTTCGCCATTTCTGTAAATTGGTATTATTTTTTTATGATTTTCATTAGTTGCTTCAGAGATTAATTGATTAAGTTTTTTTCAGATCATTTTTGTTTTGGTTTATTTTATTATTATAACAGTCATTTTTAGTTTCTGATATTAGTTTGTTTAAATTATTTCTAAATGTTTTATAGTGAGTTTGTTTGTTAATAGTATAGTTTTTTAAGTTTATCCCTAGTTTTAACAGAATTAATTAAACCATTTGTGATGCTCACTGTATGTATTGTAGGAACTTGTGTAATTTTTGGCAGATTGTGAGATATTTATCATAATAGAATCATGATCAGTCATATCATAGCTGATTACATAAGAGTTCACTGATAGATTTTCAGTCTTAATATTGTTTTTTAAGAATATATTATCCAAGCATGTTTTACTTTGTGGCCTTGTAATAGTGTTTATGTAAGACATAAAACCATGGGAGTAAAAAGTTGCTTGGTAATCAGTAGTTACTTGATTGGTTACATTTAGGAGATCAACATTAATGTCCCCTATGAATATTTCAATATTTCTATTTAGGAGATTTGGTATGAAATTTTCTAAATCCCTTATAAATGCTTGTGGAGACCTGTATACACCTGTAATGCCAATGGTCCGATGATTGACTTTTAGATTTATTTTAGTGACACAAATATCAGAATATTCCAGTTTAACTATATTTAATTCTGCATTTAGATTTGACCTGACCTAAATTACAATACCATCATTTCTGTTAATGTTACCATTGTTATAGTGGGTGGTGAAGCCATCTAGGTCAAATTGAGAAATAGATTCTAATTGGAAACATTCAGTCAAAACTATTATATCACAATAATTAATTTTATAACTTTCTATTGATTGAGTATTTTCTATTAATTTTCCAGAAAGTTTAATTAGCAAATCTTTGTCAGGAATAATATTTTTAGGTAGAAACCTCATATATAAGGTTTTCTCGCAATTTAGCTGAAGGCCTTTTTTTCTCACAATATCTCTCTTGCATTCAGAAGCCCCATCAATAGCTGTTGTCTGACACCGCTCCGCCAAATATAAGACTAACCAGTCATGTGACTTTCCTCTTATTCCTATACCTTTTTTTAATAGTAAAGGCACAGGTAAGGTCATAAAAAATACCTATAATATACTGTTTCCAGTTAAGTTTTTCATATATAGTTTATACATTCTAATATTGCTGTATTAGTTGATTTATTAAATCCATGTTGGCGGTTGGAAATTATTTTAAAATTTTCGAGATACTTTATCAGTCTATTGAAAAATGCTGCTTCAAAAAATTTAGCTATTTGTATACATACAGAGCAGTAATTTTCAGGGTCTGTACACGAGCCTTTTTTATAGATTGGGATGCATTTAGATTCTTTAAGGTTCAGAAAACCTTGTGTTACAAAAAGGCTGCGCCACATGGAAAACTTTTTATTTTTCAATTTCTCAATTAGGAAAGTGTGAAGACATTTCTTTTAAAGGTCCATGAAGACAATTATTCCTTTATAGTGATGTAACAGAAGAAGACACAGCTAAAATTTCAGCCCTTTTTTTGAAAAACAAAAAAGTTATTTTTTTTGTAAAAAAACGCAATTTATTCAAGTTTTCCAGTTTTCCAAATTTTTTATGAACACTAACCTTTATTTTTTCAACTCGGACTATTCTACAGTTTAAAGTGGTATCTAAAGAGGATCTCTGAATTTTTTTGAGACAAAATAATCAATATTTCTATCACTGGGGTTCATAAGTACCCCACGAGTCCAGGTATGTTACTCAGGATGAGCATACCAGGTGAAGGTTAACCAAATTAGAGAATACTCTTATTTTTTCATATATTTCTTTAGTGAGGCTCATAACTATGTTATAAGTTTTTTAAATGTATTAAAATTAGATTAAATCATATTTCGAATTAGGTATAATTTTAACTTTATTTAAGGTTGACTGGATGACAGCACTTGGTTGTAATTTTTAACAACAATAAAAAGTAGGTAGCTAAATTATTATTTTTGATGTAAAATTTGAAATCCACAATACTGACGGTATCATACTCTATTATACAGTATTTTGTAAACCCTTATAATTTAAATAAATCTATAATCAAAGTATATCTTACCCTGTCTACACTTTGGTCGAAATTAGTAATATATAAGTGTTCACCACTGAAAAGAAAATTTAATTAGATTAGGTATCTAAGATACATAATGAACATTAAGAGGCTACATACATTTATGAAAGTTGCAATGTTATTTTTGTTGGTAAATATTGTTAAACTCTGTATAGTTGAAAACTATTTCAATACAATTAATGTATGTAGCCCCTTAAATACAGTAAAAGCATTTTGCAAGCAACATGTGCACTACATTCATTAAAAACAATGCCTTAAATTTGTGCAAATCTAGCCTGAACATTTTGAAAATTAATTACAATAAACAGTAGGTATGTGAAAAAAGAAAAGTGCATGATTAACCCTAGATTTCTAGCATTATTAAATAGTCTTTTGTTGCCAGTAATACTACATGTTCAGAAACTACAATTATTATTGAGCCAATTTATTTAAAAATAATGTAACAGTTGCAAATCACAAAACATTAGGTTTGTATGTAAATAACACACGTTATTTTCGAATTCCTTAGATAATAGATAGTGTTGAACATAGATTGATTATTGTAAATTGTCTCCCACTCTGTAAGGATTATTTTGAGTTGAGTGCATATGATTTCTAGATATACTGTGAATTAGAGGTACATAGGAAGTAATCAAAATGTATCTGAGCTACAAAGTATCGACATGCTTTTTAACACTATTAAGTTGACAGACTAAGAAAAGCAAAGCTAAAACATCGATGTGATAGTAGCACAGTAAAGATATATGTATGACTTTTGAAAATATACACTTCAATTACAGAAACACTGGCAATCTAACGTTAAGAACAGAACTGACCATTGGTATCAAACTCTTGAGTGTATATAGCCATATTTTGAGACAAAATTATTGTATTAACATTTCTCTTGATTTGAATTAAGTAAAATGATATCCAAAACCACCACAATTATTTTATTAATAGTTAATACTTCTAATGATTTAAACTAGGTAAAATATCCAAACCACCGAAGGTCTTAGATTGTACTTTATCAATAAATATTAACATGCAAGATACAAACAATGAATAAAAGTTAGTTATAGCTACTGTGTCAGTTTCTCATCTAACAGCTAAAACCTAATACTACCGGCTTCCAAGTACACACAAATTTTGATTGTATACCTTGTTACAAAATATCAATACATATTGTTTTATGAGTAATATAAAGCTAAATGCGTATTTATTTCGAAATATATTCTATACTTTTTTTGTAGACAATAATAAACAAAAAAAAAAGTGTGATACAAAAACGAGCTGGCAATCTTTGAACAGTGGAAATCTTACTTGTGTGTCATTTCAGTCAATTAAACGAACTGTAATAAAATTCAATTTTTATTTGAAAAGAAAAATAGTGGTAGTTTATCTATATAAGAAAAAAACTATACCTTATACACTACACACTTTTAAACTGAGCAAAAAGCAAACAAACTCGAACGAATCCGAATTCACCAGAAAATGTCAAAAGTCAAAATTGAAACACCGGAAAGACTTTTGACGTAAAATGACAGAACTGTCGATAACATAACAAACTGAAAATTCCTAATGTAAGTACGTTCAGAAAAAGATGGTACGTTCAAAAAAAATTGTGAATATCCCATTTTTGACAAGTAGAAGAAAAAGAGGTCACAGTTTTAATTTGAATAAACACAACAATACATGTTTATTACGTTTGAAAATTAAATCTATTTTAGTTTCAAAATGTTATTGCCTTTATTTTGAAAATAATTCAATTTCAAAACTTGCTTGTTAATGTAAAAATGTTATTTTAAACTTCGTTTAACACAACGGTGGAATCGGTCCTAAATAAAATTTTGTTTTAGAGAGCAGGGAATTCACCAAAGTTAGAATATAAGAACATAAGGTGATTTGAATGTACATAACGTATAGAGCACCAGAGAGCGATCTCAACAAAGCAAAATGGATGAAGGGATTACGGTGGTATATTATGTTGGGTGTGGTACACGGTATGTGGTATTAATGCACTGCGACCTAAAAGATCTATTATGTCAAGGAAATACTATCGATACCTATAACGATCCTTCCAATCCCATTTTCTCAAGGAAGTGTAGAATTTGGAGATGGAGATAGTAATAGTAGTAGCATTTCGAACATTATCAAGATGTTTGTGTAAGTAATGACGGTTTATATATTCATAAATAAATTGAATTTAAACCGAAAATCCGTATTTTTTTATTGAAAACAAAATGGTTTTTATTGGAAAAAGATCGGGGGGTTAAAAATTTATTAGTTCGAGTTCGTCTCTGCCTAAGGACACACCTCAAAATAGAAGCGGTGTCAATAATTAAATACCACCCAATAAATCGTCATCATTAAAATAAACAAATCGATTGGTGCAGAGAGTTAAAAAATAGAAAACTTGACATTTAAATCTAGTATTATATAATCACATTCCGAATCAATGTTAAATGAAAGATACCTATTTTCTCTATTTTTAATTCAAAATAAATGCGACCTAGACTCTAAAATGTTTTGATGTAATATAAATACGTCACAGTATTAAATTGTCTACACGTTATCAAATTTCTTATTTTGTATAGGAGTTCTTTCACAATAAGTAGACTCTGATAAAAAGGTGTCCAATACCGTCCAATGAAATGCCCTCTGATTAAAAATTTATTAAATACTATTAGTGGGCACTTTTGGCAGTAATTATGGTCACGTACATATTTTTTTTCGATGTATAGTATTTAAAAATAAGTTTTTCTTATTTTTGGATTACACAGCAGCATTAAATTACTTTTTAATTGATTCTATTTCGCGCACTTTACAATCTTATTGTGATTGGCCGATTATATCAGTCACAATTATTGTAATAATTTCCTATACTTTTAATTAATCGATAATTATATATAATATAGGTCTAATATCTGATAATCATACTTGGTACATTAAAGCTATAAAGATCTAGTAGACAAGGTTGTCATGTTTTGACATTGTTTTTGTAATGTAACTGAAATTACTGAGCTGTCATTTTTTATTAATTCGTGATATTATGAACTATATATGCCCTCTAAGGGCGTGTTGAGTTGATATTATCAAAGAAAAATTTCTGCGCGTTTTTGAGGAGAATAATGCTCTATAACCACATTCCGTATCTTTCTACTTTTAAGTTAAACTTCACTTTTGACAGTAGTTGTCAAGGAAATAACAAAATTATAACAATTAGGCATTCCAACGACCTGTCAAAATTGGCATCTCAAGCTTATTGACAAGCATTCTATCCCACTCCAGTTCATTGGTTATAATATGGCAATCCTTGAGGGCCTAACACATACTTTGATTTTCTTTTACTATACGGAGAATGGTCGCACTGCGCAGCTTCCTGAGTGTCTTTTAAAAGCAGATAGAGAACTCCGCCATTTTGATCCCTTATTACGTGTTGCCTACATCTTGGCGCAATATTTTTAATAGGTGCATTTTAATCATCCGCTTCTGCTTCGGAATTGTCGGTTTTCTTGTTTTAATCTGACAGGTTAAAACGACTAAACCGACAATTCCGGAAGCAGAAGCGGATGATTAAAACGCACCTGATATTTTGCTTGCTGCTGTCAGTGTCAGTGAATATTATTTTTGGAGTCACAGTTTATTGCTAAAGAATCAGTTAGCTCACTCGGACCAGTTGAAAGTTCCAAAATAACATCCACTCCAGGGATACAAATTCAGGATACGCAGAAGACTGCTGTTTTGTTATAAGCGGTTGTCATATATTGTATTATCGAGTTGCGCAGTGTATAAACCTGGAACATTGAGATCAAAAGTGCCGACGCAGAGTGAGCCATCTGATTCTTTAGCTATAAACTGTGGCATAGGAATCAAAATGGCCGTGCCCTATGTTGGGCGTATCGGACCTCTCTCTTGCACCGTATAGTAATCAATGTTGGGGCCTAATGGCTTTGACAGGGTCAATGATATATAATTATGTACATTGCTCAAAGCCAGTCGCTTTACGAGCGGCCACATTGTTCAAAAATGTGTTTTAAAACCATTTTCAACATTTTTCCGAAGTAAAAAAATAATTACCTACATTCTCATGGCGTAAGAATATTTTCCACCATGTACAATCTTACTTTTCTAAAAACATGGATGATTGATCAATCTATATAACTATCTATATCATTGACCCTGTCAAATCACCAGACCTACAGGGTTGCCATATCATAACACACAGGCAATCATTTTGTTTGGAATGCCTATATATGCCGCGTTTGAATATCCACATCGGATGCCTCTGAGATGTTATGAATTATTTATCACGTGATTGAAGATTACATCTGAATGTAGATGCAATAAAAACGCTCTAGACTTGGTCACGTGATAAAATGACTATGACAGTTCTTTCACTTAATGTACCCCCCTCTCTACGAGCAAGTGCACCTATCAAGAAGCGAGACGAGTTTACAATGGTTATATCTCAAGTTTTTAAACCGCAGGTGTAAACTTAAATTCTAGTTGATTAATACTATGGAGTGTAGAGGAAAAGAGGACAATTTCATACGGTTGTTTATCTCAAAAAGTGTCTCCCAAAATGTATAAAATTAAGATGGCGCTCGTGTACTAGAAGGGAAAGATCCAATGATATATAGTTATATAGATAGCTCACCCATACATAAATCAGACTACAAAAAGCACTATTGTCGTCTATTATAAAAATTTCTCTGATTATAAACTTAGTCGCTTTTCACGATGGCTTTTCATGACCTAGTTTTAAGTTTTTAGGCTATACCCTTCGAGCATATACACTTACCTCTACACTTCATACATATGGGTGAGCAATGTATATAACTTTATACATCATTGGTGTCAAGTGTGTGATCTGAATTATAGACTGTCGGCGTCCCTCTGGTACAGAATCGCCATCTTAATTTTATACATTTTGATGAGGGACATTTGTTGTATACAGAGATAGGTCTTCTTACCTCTACCCTCCATAATTAATACATTCAAAATTGAAATGTATACGTAGAATTATAAGGAAGGATTTTTGAAAATTCTCTCCCTAAGGGGTGAAAAATGGGGGACTAAATGTCAAAAAACAGAGGCGAAAATCGTATTCAGGTTCTCCATTAATAATAAAGAATAATAATAATTAATAATAATAATAATAATAATAATAAAAATTAATTTAAATCCGATCCTGTCCTTTATTTCATGCTATTTATAATTTATTACCTACAATACCACAAAAAAAACTATTGGTCAAATCGATTTAGCGGGATGAGTCTGTAGATTTCCAACTAGGTACCTTTTAGTAGAATTCTCATACTCAAACAACTGTTCTACAGCCAAAATTTTCTGCATAGATTTTTTTTAAATCAAAACAAAAGACAACCCTGCACAAATTGATAAATATAAAAAAATACTATGATGAAAAGAATTAAAATTCGTTCCAAATTAAACGGATGATCCAATTGTTTCCGTTCTTCACTAATAGGAAATTCTCAAGACGCCGACAAATGACTAACATTTAGCACAACTGGCAGAAGCCGACGAAAATAAAGTTCAAGTACAAATACCCCACCACTCCGTTTCGTAATTTTTTGGTTTAGTTGTTTACCGAAGCGCGAGGAACTGACCTCTTCGATTATATTTACCTACACGAAAAAGTTTTCCAGTTGTACCAGTTAGTGTTATAGTTTTTTATTTACGAAAAATTTAAAAGAAAAATAACCTCAAAATGCCGTTCAATGTTATGCTCCAGTTGTGCAAAATCACCAGATCCAGTAAGCTATTCCAACGTAATTTTTATCTACCTTTACTAAAACCGCTATCACCAAAAGATGCCTTACGGCGTCACATCATCACAGGAAAGAATGTTCTTAGCAAGATGGAGCATTACATACCCGTTCTGGAAGAATATCAAGCCAGATTGGCGCGAAGGAAATACACACCCAAAGGAATGGGTAAAAAGCGACAGAGAAAGAAGGCTTCAATGAAATACGTCATGCCCTTTCTAGACGAAGACATGGAAGGGCATTCCAGACTGCAATCAATGCTAAACAGGAAATCTAAAGGTCGCGGTCAGTGCTATACGTACTACATACCTGATAAAAACTGCACCTTAGTGCTAAGTCATCAATATGAACGCGCAATCAGAGACAAAGACATTATCGACATCATTATAGCTCAACGAACAGAAAAAATCGCTGTTGTACTAAAAGATGGTTCCAAAGTAAGCGTACCAATCGTCAGTTATGATGGTCGATCTCCTTTCTACAGAGGCGAAGGCTGGACCAGGAAAGAAATCGAAGAAACTCACCATCACGGCAAAGAAACCATGTCAGTAGCTCGATTGTTTGAAGCCAAAGAATCTGGCGTAGCAGAATGGGAACTGGAGATGATGCGAATGGCCTCCAAAAGGAAAAAGAAGCACAGAGGTGAAGGTACTGCGGATTGGAAGACGATGATGGCAGCTCAAGCTGAAAATATTGATTGGGATAAGTTCGAAGATGATGCTAAACAGATGGTCGAAGAACAGCATGATCCTGTCGATGACGAACCCATAGCCATGGAAGTCGATGACATGGACAAAACTAAGAATGTCGGTGAGAAAATCATGGCTGCAGGTAGCGCTATAATAGACCTATTACCGATGATGCCTGAAATACCTGAAATAATAAAAATAATCAAGGATGAGGGCGAAATGACTGAGATAGCCAACGTGTCAGGGTTGAAACTCGAATTGCATTCTAGTAAAAAAGAAAGATTCGTGCCAGGCCAATTGGTCAAATCCGAAGACGGCGATATATTCGTGCCGGGTCAAACAATAGTTTCCGAAGACGGCCAGGAAGAATACACCCCTGGATTTACCGTAATGCTCGAGAACGAACCCACGCTCATTCCAGGCTTGGTAATGGGCGATGATCCAAACAAAGCTGTATTCCTGCCAGGGGAATCCACCATTACGAAATCGGGCGAGTTGCAATTCACCGAAACCGAAGACGACTACAAAGTAGGAGAGGACCGTTTCCCCCCGCCCGAACCCGAACCCGAGCCTGAAGTGGAGGAGGTCGAATTGGAGGAGGAGCAAAATAGTGAGGACGAAGCGATCGAAGCGCGACCGCCTCCGAAGCGAGAAAAGAAGGAGTTTGTCTACGAGCGGCCCAAGAGACAGTTCTCAGAAAATATGGGTCCTAAACGTCGCGAAAGAAAAGGTCCCAAGATACCGAAAAAATTATCCGTAGCGAATATCGAAGAACAAACGGTTAACGCGATTAAAAAAAGCCCTACCGAGCCAGTTCTGTTCGATTTATCCGCACCGCTGCTGGAAAAAGACTTGTTATTACAACAAAAAGAACGCGTGGAAAATTTCACCGAGAAGAAAGCCAAAGAAGAGGTCGTCATTGATAAGAAACGCATGGAAATTAGAAAAAAATTACGTGAAATGGCTGCCAATAAACCACCGAAACCAAAGTATGTTCCGCAAGAACCAGTAGAAAAGGGTGAAAAATTGAAGGAGATGGAAAAGAACATCAGACGAGGCAAATTCTTCGACGTTGACCATAAAAAGTATCTGACGAAGGAGAGAAATCTGCCTTTCAATTGGTTGGAGCCCCCAGAATACCGTAACATATTTGACACGGTGGGGATCATGCGCCATCGCATTTGGAAATCGGTTATTTAAGCCAAGTAGATCACCTCCATCCGCTTCGCTATTTTTAGCCACATCAATCGAGCCAAACGATCAATAATCCATCCGCATTTATAGCAATCCATCCAACTAGTTCATTATCAATTTGATATCGGGCTCGACAGTTATAGCGATGCACAGAGTAGTACTTCGTTAGTTTTTATAATTTAAACAAAATAAAAAACTTTGAAACTTCTACAACTGGATCAAGATGCCAATCAACGTGAAGATATCCCTATGCAAGATCACCAGAGCCAGCAAGCTATTTCAACGTAATTACTATCTCCCATTATTAAAACCTTTATCGCCCAAAGATGCACTTAGAAGGAAGATCATCACGGGACAGAACGTTTTGGGAAACAGAATCGAACATTACATCCCCGTACTCAAACCCCAAGAAGAAAAAACAGCTGAAAAGAAACGCAGAGGCAAAGGAGTGCCAGTAGTGAAGAAACGCGTTAAGAGGCACGAAAATGAAAAATACGTCGAACCGTTCTTCGATGAAAACATGGAGAACCACAACATGCTTCAAAATATCCTACGACGCAAATCCAAAGGCAAAGGATATCACTACATCTACGAAGTCCCCGATAAGAAATGCACCCTAGTCGTAGATTCCCAGATGGAAAGAGCCTTAAAAGATCGCGACGTCGTAGACATAATCATGGCACAACGTAGCGAAAAAATAGTCGCCAAGCTATCAAATGGTACTAGAATCACCCTACCTCTAGCCCCTTTTAACGAACGTGCTCCTCTTTATCGAGGATCCGGTTGGACAAAAGAATTCATCGAACAAGAACATCACCACGGCAAAGAAACCATGTCCATAGCGAAACTATTCGAAGCAAAAGAATCCGGAGTGGAAGATTGGGAATTAGAAATGATGCGCTTGGCCAACAAACGCAAGAAGAAGCACAAAGGCGAAGACAATGTCGACTGGAAGCAAATGCTGCAAGGATGCGTGGAAGAGATGGATTGGGAAAAGTTCGAAGAAGATACGAAACAGATAGTCAACGAACAAGAAGAAGTAGTCGAAGAGGAGGATATACCGATGGAAGTTAACGATATGGACAAGACTACTGACGTTGCTGAGAAGCTGAAACTCGGAGGGTCTGTGGTGCTCGATCAACTACCCACGATGCTAGAAATACCCGAAGTTATAAAGAATTTGGAAACGGGGGATATGTGCGAACTTCTAAACGTATCTGGAGCTAAAATAACCTTACCCAGCAATAACAAGCAATGCTTCGTCGTTGGACAAATGGTAAAAACCGATGAGAACGAAGTTTTCGTGCCCGGCCAAACCATCGTCAGCGAAGACGGCACTTCAGATTACACCCCTGGTATCACTATAAACGAAGACGATGAACCTACGCTGATTCCCGGCCTGGTAATGGGAGAGGAGGAATCTTCAGCGATGTTCCTGCCAGGAGAATCGACTATAACGGATCAGGGTCAGTTGAAATTCGAATCCACGCCCGAAGACCGCACCAGAAAATGGCGAGAACTGTCCCCCAGTCCCCCTCCACCTCCCAAACCTAAGCCAAGAGTGGAACAAGAGGTAGTAATCCGTCGACGTGTCATCGAGGAGCCCAGTGAACCGCTAATTAAAGAACGCTCCAAAAGAAAGCCTCAAGTAGTAGTTGCCGAGAAAAGACCGACACCACCACCTAGAGAAGTTTATGTACCGAGAGACCCAATGGGGGATTCTTTGAAATTGCTAGAGGAACAAAGACGAAAGCGGGAAGAGGAAGAACGTAAAAGAATGAAGGATAGATTGGAGGAGAAGATATTGAAAGAAGAATCGAAGGTTGATAAACTGCGATTAGAGATGCGTAAAAAGTTTAAGAACATGAAATTCGAGAAGCCTCAAGCGTACGTTCCTGTGGAGCCAGTAAAGAAGAGTCAAAAATTGGAGGAGCTAGAAATGAGTATAAAAAAGGGGACATTTTTCGATGACGATAAAACCAAGGATATTCTAGAGAGGGCTAAGAGCGCTACAAGATTGTTGAAATATCAAACAGTTCTGAATTCATATGGAAACGACTTTGGACGTCGATTCTAATTCTATTATCGAGGAGGGGTCAAATCAGTCCAGACGCTGAAGCGACGCTCGACGAAATTCAGTTTAGAAAGCGTCGCGGTGACGGTAGCATCTAATATCGAACGAATCGAAAATAAAATCGAACTCCAGTTATTTTTTTTGATTGACATTGTTGATATTTTCATAAAAATTGTCACATTGTGTTTAGTGTTTAGTGAACCCATTATATAAATCTCATAAAATAGGTATCATTGTTTCATTTTTATTTATTAAAAAAATTTAAAAATATTGTAATAAAAAAAAATTCAAATTTGGTGTCAAGTTTTATTCGAGATAGAAAGATGGTTAACTACATTTTGTCGTTTTGTAAGATCACAGGAGCAAGTAAGGTATTTAAAAAACATTTCTATTTACCTCTATTAAAGCCTGTAAACCCTAAAGAAGCTTTAAGAACTTTAAGGATAACGGGAAAATGGTTATTAGGAGCCAAAATACAAAGGTACATCCCGGTTTTATTGAATCATTCTCAAAAAAGATCAAAAAAAGTTCAAAATTACGGGAAACTACCCCATAGTAAATGCAGTGATTTCACTTACATGGCTCCTAATTTAGATCCCGAAAACGAAAACCATAAAATACTATTAAAAATCTTAGAAAGCAAAGAAAAAAACGGATCGTACGTCTATCGAATCGAAGACAAAAAATATAACATCGTATTTGAATCAGATTTCGAAAAAGCCATAAGAGACGGTGACATTATCGACGTACTAGTATCACAAAAAAACGACAAAATCCTAATCAAACTAAAAGACAAAAAGAAAATCCCCATCGAAATTCAATACTACGAGGGCGATTCAGAACATTTAATATGCGGCGAAGGTGCCACGACACCAGCAGAAGAAAAACACCACCATTACGGCAAATACACAATGAGCCTAGCAAAAGTATTCGAGGAACGCGAAATACGCGAAGAAAAATGGGAAGAAGAATTAAAAAAAATCATGAAACGCAGAAAGAAACAGAAATGGGAAAACTCCAAAGCCTACAAAGAAATGATGAAACGCAACATGAAAAACCTCAACTGGAACAAATTCGAAGAAGAAGCTAAAAAGGTAATAGACGAAATTTCAGAAGAAACCACGGAAATCCCCATAGAAATGGAACTAGATGATCTCGAATCTACCAAGAACGTTAACGAAATGATCTTAAATAGAGGACCGGAGATGCTAAACCAACTCCCAACCATCACAGAAATACCAGACGTAATCAAAAGTATGAATACCGCTAGTCTAACGGAAATCGAAGACGTCCCAACCGAAGACAATCAAAAAAGAAGACGAGTCAGCGGCGTTACAGTCACTCTACCCTCAGGTAAAGAATGCTTCGTCAGCGGCCAAATGGTTTTAACCGAAGAAGGTGAAGTATTCATTCCTGGTCAAACTATCCAAAACGATTTCGGCGATGAATACGTTCCTGGTATAACCACGAACGTCGATAATAAACCCACCCTTATCGGAGGGTTAATTATGGGTGAAGACCAACAAGAACCGATGTTTTTACCATCACAATCAGCTATAACAGCCGACGGACAGCTCACCTTCGCTTCAACACCAGAAGAACGCCCTCCACCGCAACCTGAATCCGAAAGAAAACTCAAAAGAAAGAAAAAACAAGAAGAAATTATAGAAGAACCTATAGAAATAATTATCATCGAAGAAGAAGTATCAGACATATCCGACACAGAAGAAAAATCAAGAGAATCTAGTATAGAATTAAACAGTTCCGAAATGGAGGAATTAGATATGGAAGACATACGTTTGAAGCAAGAACAACATCGATTGGAATTAGAGAAATTGAAGCACCAAATGTTCGATAACATGGACGATTTAATCGCTAGTCTCGAAGATAAAAAGGCGCAGCTTAAGAAAAAACTGGAGGATCTACGAAAACAACACATGGACAATCAAAATAACCTAGTAACGTACGTTAACGAAAAAGACGCTTTAATTATCGCAAAACAAATATCAGAAGACGACGACACTATTAATAGACTAGTAGACATTCTTTTAACAATGACCAGGAGGGCGTCGACATTTAGAGATAAAAATAACATTCGCGCCGATAATATAGATTTATCCTACTTGAGTTCGAACGCTGCAGATTCTGAAATTAAATTGCACGCTTGCAGCAATAAATTGAAAATATTATTCAAGACGGCTTTAGTAGCTGCAAACGAGGTATTCAAAAATAGACCGAAGGATCAAGTGCTCGCTCTCAAAACGATTGGAGAAATTTTAATAGATCCGTTGAATAAAAATATCAAATTGATTTTAGAGTTAACCAATTTAATGAAAACTCAAATTGATAGGGATGAAATTTGTGAAACGGCTCTTAAACAGCTCACTAGAGTGATCGAAGATACTAAAATTTGCACTTTAGCGATGATCGTGGACAAACAGATGTCAGTACCGGATATCATCGAGAGTGTGGAGAAAATTCTAGGCCATGACAACATAATGACTATCGCTTTTGCTAAAATTCTAAAAGTGAACCCATTAGTCGTGCATTCTTTAATAGAAAACATCGAAGATGACATTAGAGACGTCGCTTCAGAAGAAGATGCTATCAAAGTCCTGCAGAAATCTATAGTCAGTGCTACTAAGCAATCGATGGATCTAAACTTACAAAAATACAAAACTGGATCTTCTTACAAAGAATTGACAGAAGAAGCCTGCAGTTTTGCAAAAGCTTTAGGCTTGGATGATGTAGTGGAAGATTTAGAGAATGCATCACAAGAATTCTTACTAGAAGATACTTTAAATATGTTAAAGAGGATGACTTTGATGAAACAGTTATCAGAGAGGGATTACTCATTAAAAACAGCTATAACACGTATTAAAAAGAACCCTGAAGTAGCTAAATCTGATCCCAGGATTCGACAGTTGATCAGGGAAAGTGCCGCTTTAATTTCCAACCCGTCAGTACTGCTGACTTCGAGAAGCATCCCATTGCAATTGATGAAGAAACAGAATTTGCTTGCTATTGAAGACTTTTTGGTGAAACGAACTAATTTGGAGTATCCATGTTTGATATCTAGAGGTTCTTTACAAGCAGTTATCCCCAAGGATGCATCCAGAGGTGTGTTAGCTGGGCGAGTACCATACGTTCTTATAGACGAAACTGGTGTAACTAACTTCAAACCAATGCATATGATGTCGGCTGTGCACGTTAATAAAAATCGTGAAAAAAGAATAGACGATTATCTAAGTGCGGTTCCAGAAACTTGTGATACACCCGCTTATCTCCATCAATCCAAGAACAATGTAAGGAGGCTTAAAAAGTTTATTAATAGCCGTAAAAATGCATGATTTAAATCATTATGACTGTAAATATTTTGTATATATGATTTTTTTTTAATTTAATATACTTTTGTGTTGTGTGCTTCTCTGTGGTATATTTGTTTTGTGTGTGTGTAAAACATTTTTTTTATACCTATTACACAAAAGACATTCAGCATGGACTACAAAACACAAATATATTTTTACTTAACTACACCGATGCTACATATTTTTGGAATCGACGAGTCAAGGTAAGTGTGTGTTAGTCATTTTTTTTTAGTTAGTTGCGTTCATTGGCGTAGTTAAGGGATACGGCAAAGTTTTGACTGTAGAGGGTATTATGGTAGATCCAGTCGATAACTGGCCTTAGATAATATAATAGCAGATAGGCCACCACTGCATACCACTGCATAAAGTTATACAATATTAATGTCATATTATTAATCATATAATCAGTATCTCTCTTTCTAATGAAGGCTTTCTCACTCGTTTTAGAATTCTCAGCACTAGCGTACTGTAAAATAATTTCGCTGGGTCATTTTAAATGTGAAAATGTTGACCAAGTAGAATATAAAATAAAATGTTTTAAAAAGTAGGTAGGTGCATTTTTAATGAAGTGAAAACAAAATATGACTTTTTTGTTATGAATATAATATTAATAACAATTACTTTTAACACCACAACACGAACAAATTTAAATTAAACACTGGAATAATTGTCTGAGAAAAGCTTTGTAAAACTGACAAATACAAACAAAGAGATAGAGATATTAATCTATTTCTCTCTAATTAGAATTCTCGACAATATTATCATGGCGACACAAACATTGTTTACTGTCCTCTCTTTACTACTTACTTACTCTGAGTAACTGGCAAAAAAAATTATACAAAAAAAGATTATCTCGCCTAGACAGATCTGCATTTAAATTTTTTTATTTAAATGATTTTTGGGATACAGTATGTCCCCCTAAGATGAGTTTTACTCAAGAGTAAAGTACCTTTATTCTTTATACGACTGATAAAATTTGATATCTGATGGTTGTATTTCAGGTTTTAGAGCATGCTCGACTTTTTATAAAGAATAACTTTTTTCCCAATATTAATAATAAAAAATATTTTCATATGCCGCCAATTTACGTAGACAGTTGATGGCATAGGAAAGCTTTTTTATTACTAATTTTACTAAGTTTACACCAGTAATTTATTTGACACATTTCTAATATTTTTGATGTAAAAATATAAAGTTAAAAATGTATCTTAACATTCATTTTATCAATTAACCATGGGCGTAACTGGATATTTTTTGGGGGTTGGGGGTTTTTAACAAAGTAAATACCTAGATAAAAAATCAAATTTTGTCGCATTTACGCATCCTAGGCAATTATTTTAGATTGAATAAATATTTTAACTATTCATTTGGCACTATTTAAAGTTTTTTATTCGTGAAAATTTAAAATTTTGTATAGAAAGACGTTCTTTCGTAAAGTAATTTTGATGCTCCTTTTTTGTATATTATGTACCTTCAATGTATATAATTACTTTTTCCAGATAGGAATTCTTACAAAAAAAATTATATCAAAAAAACATCTTGTAATCATTTCTAATTTTATATATAATTGCACTATTATTTAACGCTAATTGGTTTTACATTACTTCTAATTTATACCTGCAAGTTTTTGAGGATACCCTTTTCCATTTACCCAGACAACACACCAAATCCCAGAGATATCCACAGAATATCTTTTGTGGATATCCAATATATCCACAGGATATCAGAAATATTCTGTGGATCTAATATGGATATCCAAATGTCCGTCTATATCCAGAATATAAAAGATATTTTAATGAATATCCAGCAAAATATCTAATAAGTATCTTCCAGAAAATACAAGAAATCCCAGAGATATCTACAGAATATATTTTGTGAATATTCAATATATCCAATATGGATATCCAACCAAATGTCCGTCTATATCCCAGGATATAGAAGAGATTCGGATATTCAGCAACATATTTTATCTTTAGTAGAGGTTCATAAGCAACCAATGATTATTGAATAACGTCGAAAGAAAATAGCAGAGATAAAACATATTTTCAACTTTTGTATACTAGTAGCCAATCAAAATGGGAAGAACTAAAAACTGACAGTGTACAAGGTTAAAATCCATAAAATTCGACCTACAATCCTACAAATGATGTGACATGTTGCAAAGAACATAATTACTTGATAGATTTTGGGTAATCTGCATTACGAGTTGCATCAATTACGTAAATTAAAATTCTCAACTCGTCACGGAAAGCGGAATCAGTGCCTGGCGCATGGCGCATTAACAACTCGCGATCCTTTCGACTCTGTATCGAAAATTGCGTTGCGCTGATACAGTAACAGCTGGTGTATCAACGCTCGTAACGCATACAACTGCGTTAACGCAATAACGCAACGCAGCGCTGCGTTACCCATGTCTAGTCCTAATCACTCCATTAGAGACTGGAGTCGAGAATTTTCATTTATTGCTGAAGAGTCCTAATAAGGATGACTTTCTCCTTAGTGGGCAAAATCAAAGGCAGAGTGTTGAAAATATTTTTTAACTCTGCTATTTTCTTTCGACGTTATTCAATAATCATTGGTTACTTAAGAACCTCTACTAAAGATACCCATAAAATATTTTGCTGAATATCCGAATATCTTCTATATCCTGGGATATAGACGGACATTTGGTTGGATATCCATATTGGATATATTGAATATCCACAAAATATATTCTGTAGATATCTCTGGGATTTCTTGTATTTTCTGGAAGATACCCATTAGATATTTTGCTGAATATCCATAAGAATATCTTCTATATTCTGGATATAGACGGACATTTGGATATCCATATTAGATCCACGAAATATTTCTGATATCCTGTGGATATATTGGATATCCACAAAAGATATTCTGTGGATATCTCTGGGATTTGGTGTGCTGTCTGGGCTAGTACTTTGTACATCTCTACTCTACTAACAAGTAACAAGAATGATCAATAATACTTTATTCAAATCATAGTTTAATTATGTTGCTTTCTTTTTTTATTCGTTCATTTATTATAATATATGTATTATTTAGCAAAATTATTTAAAAATATAAACCTTTACCATTAAAACTGTGTTATCAGGCATTTTCAAATAAATTATATGTGTGTAAAACAAAGTCCATTATTTGGTGTTATCAAGATTATTCAAGATACCATTTTTTTAAGTGTCGGATAACATATTTTTTTATTTTCATCTGGCAACACAGCAACTCGATAATTAGACATTTGTTAGACAACGGTATGTCTGTCAAAGCACATTGAATATCAATCATTGGTTTGAAAGTCTAAACCCAGTAGAAATGCCGGTGATATTGAAATTAATTTGAACTGAGCCTTATTAGATGTATATCTATCTAAATAGTTGTCAGATTGTATGTCAGTTTTATATGTATTTTTGTCCTCAGTACACTTTGGTATATCTTATTACCTTTATTGATATTTATGAAAGATCTTTACCTAATTTAAAATCATCAAGAAAAACTATTTACAATGGCTAGAGAGGAGTTTCGGCCAGTTAAAAATATTTAGCTACCAAGGCAAACAGAATAATGTACGCTAATGACTATTCCATGCAAAAATTCTAAAAACAGTGAGTCTACGTTTTTATTTTTAAAAATTTGACTAACATATTTCCGCAAGTAGGTAGATATTTACGTACTTATAACGATTTGAACTAAATTTTTTCTTTAAAATAACTTACCAACTAAAGTTCGTCTCATTTTCTTGTTCGTTCAAAAATTTACGTAAACAATATCCTAATCCTGAACTCATCTTGAATGCAACCACACTACTACTGATTATTATTTATAAGGTTTACTGTGTTACGATATCAAGTTGATCTATTTGAAATATGAACATTTTGAAATGAAAGAATAAGTAACTAAGCGATAATAAGTAGATAAGTAATGTATATAGATAACAAAAATGTTACTATATAGGTAACTATGTTACCAAAGTGACCAGTGCTGCCCACTACTTAGGCAGGACCGTATCAAGGGTACAGGCGATGGAAATTTAAGCAAGCTGATATTTTTAATTTAATAATTTCATTGGAGTTATATTTATAACAAAAAACATTTTTTCTTATGTACAGGGTGGGCCCCCAATAACGCCTCGGTCTGTAGAGCCAAAATTATATGATTTTTTAACATCTGTTTTCACAGCATCTTTTTGTTATTATTTAACTAAAGCAAAGATATATTCAACTTCTGTTTATATCATTATTACTTTTGAAACGATAAAATTTTCTCCAAACATTGAAAATAAAAGAGATTTTCCTCTTTTTCAGTCCATCCATACTCTGTACATACAGGGTGGGCCACCGGCAACGCCTCGGTCTGTGGAGCCAAAATTATTTAATTATGTTTTCACAGCGATATGTATATCAGAAAAGGCAACAAATTAAAAATAATTTCAACTATACAAGGTTCTCCAAGAAAGTGATACATATCAAAGTTAGGTTTTTTAAATGTAATACCCTGTATTTTATATTTAAATTTCCCATTATAACAATAATAATAATAATAATAATAATAATAATGTTTATTCAATTCAATTCAATTCAGTACAGTACATAAATTCAATAATAAACATAAATATAAGGATAGATACATAAAAGTTAGGATAAATACAAGTAACATATTATTAAAAAGACTTAGTAACTACCTCATTAAAATAATACATACTAAGTAGAGGGTGAATAAACAAAGTTAAGCCACAGAAGTAGTTTTTAGAACTACTTGTATTGTGACCTTAATACAGTTTGTTTTGCCTTTTTTGGGCGACACAAACAGGGTTTTTGTCAAACCCAGTGAAAAAAAAAAAAATATATTGTCAAATCCAGTTTAAGACACATTCGGGGTATAAGGACAAAATAGAGGTAAGTTAAAATTAAAATATCAGACACATA